ACACTATAGACAATCAAAAGTGTGCTGAAGCAGAAAATATTAAGGCCTCTTAATCTCACCTAAGGACACACAAAATCTATATCTAATCAGAAAGTGTGGTGATGCTTGTGGGTCTGGCTGATGGCACAGCTCTCCCTCCATGGCACAGAAATCACACAATCTGAAAATATAAAAACTGTGTTTTCAGTTCATTAAGGCACACATGTACATTGAGTGATTGCAATACTGAGCAGTTGAAAAGGTTATCAGAGTAAGTAGGTTTCTGGTAACTAACTGTGTCTTTAGGCTGTCTCCTGGCTCAGTGGTTCTCAACCTAGGGTCCGGAGATCCCCAGGGGTCCTTGAAGGGGTTCCAGAGTGCCCCCAGAAAAATGAGGACTATTTTAATTTCAGTATTATTTCACTGGATACAAGTAAGCCAATGAGAGAATGTACTGTATACGAATGACTGTTTTGTTCATAGGTCTTCACTGTTAATCTACCGTATAGACAGGAATGGAATAACTCAATATCATCAGACGGAGACACCAAAATGGTTGAAAATACTGAGTAAGTGTCTCAGAGAGTTTACCTTGTGATTTTGAGCCCGGGCCATTGGGGGTTGACAGAAGTTGGTTTTAGCTCAGTTGCAGGATCTGATGTATCGGTGACAGCCAGGAGTAGCTGTCAGCAGAGCAGCAGGCCCTGCTGTTCAGTCCGTCGCAGCAGACTCAATCTGATACCATTTCTCCAGGGAACCATGATTATCTTGGATTGGTAAGACTTCACGTCTCAACTTGATTTATCCCAACAGGCAACTGGTTTCACAGCAAGAATTAGTTTAGTTGGAGACTGAAGCTGGCAGTACCAGGCGGGCGTGATTGCTGCCATCATTATCATCATTTTCATAGTCATCATCACAAGTGCCAGATACAAATGGTCTCACATTTCCATGAACATTTTGGTGGCTTCATAAGCGCAGATTTTGTTGAAACCAGTAAACATCAGTAAGTCCTCAGCCATAACACTGTGGTTCTGTTGAAGGCAACACATTTGAGTCTTAACAGCTCCCACAAGGTCTCTTTACAGCTCCCACAAGGTCTCTTTACAGCTTCCACAAGGTCTCTTTACAGCTGAACAAAACATTACATTTAAACAAATTAAAGCATCTTTTAGTGTTTGCTACACACATGGATACATTTCATTTTCTCTGAATCATCCATTGAGTCTTGTAACACGGTGCACAAATCAGTTGAGACTGAATGTGGAAGTTTGGCTTTAAGAATCCCATGCTGGGTTTTAGCATTCAAACATCTCACAGCCCCTTCAAGTCCCCAAACACAACACGTAGCCACATAATAATTGACTTAATGATTAAAACAAGGTATAAGCACTTTTGACAATAAAAAACTGCATCATAATCCTTTTTTTATTGCATTTCTCAGGGCTTGATAAGCCAGTATCGTGCTGCGTGGAAAGTACATGGCATATTTTCTAGTAATAGCTGTGACTGGGACAAGGCTATAACTGTCTCAACCATACCTCTTCATCTACAGGTAGATAAGGTTAATTCACTGTCTAATGGGCTGGGGAACTGATGAACCATTTGATGTTAAAGGGTAATTGACTATGTCTGAGTAGTGATGTGTGTGTGAGGGGAGATCAGGAGACTTTGTGTGTGTGTGTGTGTGTGTGTGTGTGTTGAGGAGGGAGTATCACTCTCAGAAGCATAGATGTGTCAACATACTGTCGGGAAAGATTACAGAACATCATTAAAATATTCCCTCTGTGACCTTAAAGCGATCCCGCCCACCTCTGCACTGACTCATCAGTACATTCTGTAGCTGCTTGTGGTCAATTTGTATAGTGGGTGCATTGTCATGCTGGAGAAGGCCAAACAAAAACCTGTATTTGGCTTCTCTAACTATTGTCAAAACCTGCATAAAGCTAAGAACTGTATGTTTACGTTACATTATGTTTCATCCGGCCCCTGAAAACCACTTTTAGAGTCATGATAACATAGTAACCTCTTCCTCACCAGGTCACGGGCGGTCCACCGCACCTTCCCTCTAAGCAGAGAGGGAACAGAGGCCAGACATACTGTATAATCAAAACCTGCCACCGCTGACCCCTTAAACTGCGTGTCTTTGTGTGTCGCTTTGCTGCTGTTACTGTGACATTAAGCAGACAGGAGATTTACATTAGTCCTCAGGGCAGCAAGGACACCGGTGGAGGGGTTGTCATGGAAACGGACCCCTACATGGATGTCAGAATTGTTTAATTATTCAGGACCACCATCACTGAACATCAGCGGGGAATCAAGTGGGACTGCTGAACCGATAGAATGGCGAGATTAAAAAATTATACAACGTGGCAAGTTGGGGGAATCCAGATAAACTTACTTTGAATATACTAAACTATTGAGCTAGAAAGCTCCTGGGCAGACTCAGCTAATGGGTATGTGATGTTCTCCGTACACAGTTAATTTCTATGCAAACATGCACACGCTCACACCAGTAATCCACTAATCCAATACACGCAGGAAGCTTTTCTTTCGAATATAAGTGTTCAGAATTTTTTTTTTGCCAGAAGTGTATAGTGCTTTGAATATAAATTTGCTCAGGCATTTGAAAAGATAAAGAGATGTATATTCATGTGGCCAAGGTATGCCTCCACTAACATGATATCTGCCATGCAAAATCAAAACACAGTAGGTTAACTGAATATTTAGTCAACATTCAGTTAAGACCTTAATCTGTTGAGTTTTCGCATATTTGTATTCATGCTATTTCATAGAAAGCAGCACGTTAAAAAAAAGTTACCCTACTACAAAACGCAGCTACAAACCCAAACAGTCAAAGGAAGCAGGCCAAACCCAGTTAAACCAGCTACCAACGGCTATCTTTGGCTAAAGCTAAAACTTTTTCCTTTTCTTTAGACTGCAATATATCAATGATGATGGACTAGCTTGTTGATAATTTAATTTATCCCACGTAAATAAGATAGTAGCCAGTCATGATGAATAAAAACAGCTAATCTGAGTCCTGCTTAAACTAGTTTAGCAGGGTAGCATTAAAGGTGCAGTGTGTAACATTTAGGAGGATCTATTGGCAGAAACAGAGTGTAATATTTATGGGTGTGTTTTCGTTAGTGTGTGATCACCGACGAATATAAGAATTGTTGTGTTTTCGTTGCCTTAGAATGAGCTGTTTTTATGTACAGACGCGGGTCGCCTTCAATGGGGTCCGCCATGTTAAACTTAACGGCCCTTTAAGTTTTTCACGAGTTTTTCGGCCACCGTAGTTTCTCTTACACACTTTTCTCTTTCCCTTTTCTCTTTAAAATTGTAAATGAATGTATTCGCTTTCATTTCAAGATAATTTCTGATAAAAAGTAATGAGAAGCTAAAGAGAGCACATTTTGTGGTTTTCCCACATATTCAGTATATAGGTCTTACATAGGCTTTGGTCTGCCTGTGATTTTCTGTTGTAAAATAATAAATCTGTCTAAACAGACAACCAATTAACTTCCAATTCATGTGTAACACAGTTTACCCAGTCAACCAACCTTATTATTTTAAAGAGAAAATTTGTTTCCAGTTCCTTTTTTTCTTTGTCTCCTTGTTTAACCTTTAGAAGAAGGGTTAGAAAGAAGGAAAAAAAACGTGGCGTAGTTGCCTAGCAGTTTTAAAAATTACAAAAACACAAAACAGAAAAGATACAGTAACAACTAGTGTGAAGAGTGCACGCGTGTTGCTATAGCTATACCCTTCTCATGAAAACAATATACAGTATATTGCTAAAGGCTACCTCCCACACTCCAGAACACACAGGAGTCTACAGTGACATATTTTTAGCCTTGGCATTTCTCTAATTGTATTTGCACAGTTCAAAAGCCTGAGTGTTGCATAATTAAGACTCAGCTGTAAGGAACGCTCAGTCCATCCATGCAACAGAAACACAGTGATCAAAGGATTGCAGATCTGATGGAAATATTCTCACTGTTTGCACTGATAATGTCTAAATGTTAAAGTTTAAATGTGGCCCACCTAAAACACGGGATTCTGCTGAGGCAATCAGTGAGAATGAGAAAGATGGAGGGTAATCCCCCTACTACGTGTTTGTGTGTGTGTGTGTGTTTTCCTCACGGCAGATGCCTGGGTGTCAAGAGGGAGCTACGGTCCTCATGTGTATTGTTTTGCCTGCAAACTATGTCACACCAATCTGTCCTCCCTGCTTTCCAGAATGGTGTGTAGTGTGTGGGAGCACTCAGTCTCCATGGTCAGAGACCATTTTATGGACAAGTAAAGTCACTATCTAAGCCATATGGTGGGCTGTACTCTGTCAGGACTGCACCATATTTCTTTAGGCAGTGACAGCTTTTACATCCTTTTCTTGTCAAGGATTTTCACACACTAGCACACACAGGCAATCGGTCTCACAAGGATATCGGCAGCAGTAGTATACCACGAGTTTGTCTGATTTGACGAGGCATGTCCCTGAATCTATTAACTTTTATTAATTCGTTTACCTTGAAAATGTTGCCTGGTGTGGATAAATTCATAATTTTCTGTAAGTTGTCCCTCATCTGTAATTTTTATATTTATGCCATATATTTTTACTGTGCATCTAATAGCTTTAATATATGGTGATAAATAGTGGTCATTTTCAGAGTACAGTTTGAAGATAATTTTGTTAGTGTGCTAAAAGCTATCCTCCTGGAAAATTTTATTATTATTCCAGAAATGACATACTACAATTATGTATAAGTCTTACCACTTTAACATACACTGTCACTTGGATGTACTGAATTAATTTCAACATCTCAGATATTTGTGCTGTAATGAACTTCTAAGTAGACTGCAGGAATTCCTCAAAAATACTAGGCTGCCCTCAAGTGGGGAAGTTTTGTAAGGGATCCAAAACACACTGAGTATAAATACTCCTCTGCACTTGTCAGACCTATGACTCTGGAAAGGTCATTCTCTTCTTGCTACTGCTGTAAGCAAATGATAAAATATAATTTTATCACAAAGCATAAATGTTTATTTAATTGGCAATCTCATAACAAATGCTGAGTTTCCATGTTCAAAAAAAACAAAAACACAGTAATTAAACACACTATTGACAACCTGTTTGACATTTCCATTGCATGTACAGTTTGAGTTAGAACATTAAGCACCATATTTACAAAGCTCAATTAAAACTCTCTGGTTGTGCATCTTCAAAGCATCAATTGAACAAAAGATATGGAAACTATGGAAATATTTTTCTCTTGGTCTTTTGCTCTTTTTAACAGTAGAGTGGTTAAAAGGCAACAAGCTAATTGCCCTCCAGAGGATCTCTCTGTCTCTATCTCACATGGTCACTCATATAGTCACACAGTCACACACACAGTCACAGATAGCTACTTATCATTGCTCAGTGGGGGAGCCCTGCTCACATCCAAACACCTTTTTTTTTTTTCAACATAAAGCCTTATACCTTACAGGTGGTATATGATCTATTTGCATTTTGCTGCTCATTACTATTCAGGGCATGAGCTCTAAAAAAGGCACCCTGTATTGTATCTAAACACAGTTTTTGGCCATAATGCACATGAAAAGATAATGAATGAGGCAGATGAAAAATAAAACATTCAATTCTGTTTGAGCAAATGAAAAAAAAAGAAAAGAAAGTAATATATATGTATATTTTGTGCTGCACATGTGGCCAGCACTTGAGACACCATCACTGTGAAGAGATAAATAAAAATATGAAATAAAAAGATCCAGTAAGTCCATGTAGGAATCCATAAAAAGGTGCTTAAAGTCTTAAGTTCTACAGCTGCACGATGATCAGAGGTTTTCCAGACGAAGTTTCAGTTGTTACAGACATCAACTAAAAAGCTAAAAGATACGAGGATTGGTGGAAAGAGTAATGTATAGTAGTAACTTACCTATTTAAGAGCATTTTTGTATGTTAGAAAGACAGGATAGCCAGATGAATTTTGCTGCAAACTATCATGTCTATAAAACCATTTAAATATTATTATGAATATGGCTTATAATGACTTTTTTCTGCATCAAATAATCTTAATAGTTAACACACTAACACCCACTGGCTCTGCTTTTACACTACATATCAATTCTTGGCTTGAAATTGCTGTTTAATTCTCAGATGCAATGGCATTTATTCTCATTATTTCCCTTTGACCTGAGCACATCTAACTCAACTCGTTTTATTGTCGGTTTTAATCGAACACGTCTCATTTCAGGGACAATGCAATTTATTTTCATAATTTCCTCCTGGACTGTGTGTATCAAATTCACTGTGTTCTGTTTTTAGACTCAATCCAATTCATTCTGTTTTCATTAACTACATAATAAATATTAAGATTGGAAGGTAAATGTTAAAGTTGCTTTGGGTTTTTTTTTTTAATGCTGTCCATGATAAACAACTGTTATTATAAAGCTCCATTTGATCACTTTGGCTGGTAAGGCAAGTTGTGTCTTTAAAAGAAAAGTGCATTGACTCAACAGCTCCAAGGCCTACTTACACATACACTCGCGCACACACGCGCAAAAATCACAAAAAACCCATGCCGCTCATAATAAAATACCTTCTCTCCGCTTGAAATTGAAACATCTTTGCCACTGTTAATAAATTAAAGGTTCAGCAGTTCACATTCATCAGCTGGTTGTGTGTGTTTTGTGTATCTGTGTGCAAGAGTGTTTCGGGTAGTTAAGTTGTGTAGTTCACATTGGTCATTGTAGTCCTGTGGCTTTTTTGAGTAGCTCCAGGTCCTTGCGTGTTCGAGCTGCAGGTGGCGTACAGCCATATGCCTCTAAACCGAGGGGCAAGTACCGCTCCTGCAGCCCCAGGAACTCATCCCCCTGCCCGGCTTGTAGAGAGACCCAAGGAGGGGGTGAAGAACCACCCTGGAACCCCCAAAGTGCCAGACTATCTGCAGTGAGGGGGAGCAGAAACAGTGTTTAAGAAAGAGAGACTCTGCCCCAAAATACAGTAACTAGCTAGTTTCTGAGCTTGTCACTCACCTTTACTGTGCAGATCAGCAGGTTTGGCCATTCCAAAGGAGACCAGATATGGTGCTACACTAACCAGGCCTTCTGGTCGACCTCGTGTTGCCATGAGTACTATTGACCTGTTGGGGAAGCAGATGTCTGTAAATTAAGCAATTTTGGATTGTGCATAATTCTGCTATACTGGGCTGCTGTATATTTATACTAAATGGGAATGTTTGTTTCAGATTTTGATGCTACTGAACGCCTATGTCAGAAAGGCAAATACAGTGGTGAGCTGTGTTATCATTTTCCCTGACTCACCTCTTTGGTATTCCAGTTTTTAGGTACTGTATCATCTTGGCATCCATCTTGGTAAATGAGGTTTTCTTGGTGACTTTCCCAGAGCAGGCATCCACGGAGACCAGGAAATACCCAGGCTGAGAAAAGGGCATGGTCACCTCATTCACCTGGCAGGTGACAGGAACAAGTCAAGTTACAAGTCGTATAGATAAGATCACATGTTTAGATTTGTTTTTGTACTTAATGCCTGGCATGCTCACAGTGATGAAGGAGCTGTTATCTCCTCTCTGCTGCTCTTTGCTGCAGAGAGACTTAACTTGTGTCTGGAGGTAGGTGGTCCATGGCTCACTGGAAAACACAAGCTGAGACAGAAGTACATTGGTCAGTAGTGGTGGCGTGTGTTTTTAATCAGCTAAAATCTGATTTATCTTAAATATAGCAACACAAACCTGTTTAGCACCACAGCCTTTGCAGGACTGTGTGTTCAGAGCTGGCATAGGCACCGCTGCTGAAGGGGTCTTGGAGTATTTGGGATAAGCCTTTCCTGAGCAGTTACAGGTCTGTTTGGAGGATGTGGTGGCCATAACTTTCACTCTTTCGCAGCCTTTTACTGAACAGTAGCTTTGACCGTCGCGACCATGTCGTGCACGAAGGTAGAGCCACAACAAGCTGGGCGTGACGGGAAGAGAGCAGGAGAAATAGCCAGAGTTGAATAAATGTCTATTTACAAGTCCAAGTGTGTTTATTGAAGTAAACGACAAAAGAAGGAAACTCAGAGGATTGGATTTTGTTCTCTCACCCAACAGTTTGGTCGAAGAAGTACTTCCTCGCCATCGGTTTCTTCTCCAGCTCTGCGAGGGATGACACGGTGCCGTAGTCTGTGATGTCATCAAAGGTGTTGCTTTGCCTATCGTTGATGTCGGCCATAATCTGAAATGTGGTGTCTGATGGGTAACAGAGTCCCACCAGCACCCAGTCATCTCTGAGAGGGAGTAAGAGAAAAAAGAGAAGCATTACATCACACAGGGCTTCAGTGAAAAATTTTAGAATAGTTCTAATGTGTTCACGTTGCTGGCTCTTTTTACTCACTTGTCAAAATTGATGAGAGAGAGGACAACCTCTCTGGGTGCAGGTCCACTCCAGTGCAGAGTGTAGCTCTTGCTCATCATCAAGATGGGCTGGTACTGCTGCGACAGTGCCCCCTGGCTGTTAATCCCCCTCAGTACCAGAGGGGCGTTAGGGTATTCATCTCTGCTGATGGATAAACTGAGGCTGGAGACTCCCTGGGTCTGGATGTACACCTGAGGTAGAGGAGGATGTGGTGGAGGGCAGGAATCAGGAAGAATGCATATTGTAGATTAAAAAAGGACAGAAAAACAAGAATGAGGCGTCGACCCCTGACGTGCTGTACCTGAGAGTAGCGGCCACTGCAGATCACTCCACTCCACTGGGACATATTCACACAGCTAGGATGTTGGATCAGGTAATTGTCTGCTCTGCCGACGTAGGTGTCTCTGTAGCCTGTTACTGACCCGTCCACATCATGAAAAATTGAGTTTTTATCACCGTCCAAGTCGTTCTCTTCAAACCACTGCCCGGGGCGACCAAAGAAAGCCCGCAGACTCACCTGAGGATAGTATTTGCAAAGAGTTTTGTGAATGCCACCAGATATATATTAGCACTATTTCAGTTTATATGCCATCTCTGCTAAATGATTGAGTGCTCTCTTCTAACGCAGCTTACTCAGTAATTATTTTTCATCAACATAATGTAGCTATTTGCTTTCCAGGCATTCCATAATGATAATCTCTGTTCTCCTGGGAGTTTCACAAACGAAAGATTTTACAAGCACTGCAGTGTGCTTATGATGTCTCAAGTGAAGTGTTATCAACCCTGATAAGATGTCTACTCACAGTGCAGTGGAAGTTGAGCTGAGTTGTTTTGTGCTGAAGAACAAGGCACTGCTTTCTGACAGCTGGCTTTTTACAGAGGACCCTAATATAAAAAGACTGAGGCTCCCCTCATACAAGTCATTTCCTATTTCTATTGACTATCTTCCATAGATTGAATCTACCAATCTACCTTTTTTGAAAGAGCTGGGGAGCTGCACTTTTAAGGGATATTATTTATATGATTGGAAATGTTTACAGTATGTTTAGGATCAGTATACATGACATTACATGTCATATTTGATCATCTTAAGATTCATAAATACATTTAGTATTAGTATTAAATATTTACATAAAGCCAGTGCACTGTACTATACCTCCACAAGGGGGCACCAGTGATCTACAACGGTTTCTAAACAGGCCTGACTCAGGGGTCCCCTTTTCCTCTCCTTTCTTCAAACTGATGCTTCAAATAACTGTCGAGTCCTTGACTGTAATCTGAGCTGTGATGTAATCAATATGAGGGGAAGGTTATAAGGGTGAAGAACAAATAGGAGCAAACTGCCAAAGAGGAAACAGAGCCAGAGTAAAGTGAGAAAGAGACAAAAGATAAAAGATTAAAAATCTATCAGTCCCAGAAGTGTTCACAACCATCTGCAGACCAGAAAAAGGAACATAGGGATACAGAGGAAGGTACAGAGAATGAAAAAAGAGCTGACCGACATACAAGGTTGAAAACAGGACCATAAGAGTGACATGGGAGAATTGGACTGCTTCCTATGGACAGCTCTATACTGACCCTCGGTGTTAAAAGGTTCATGTAATGCACTGAGTGTTAGTTTGTCTATTGTCTGATGTAAGTAATTATGTAGATGTTTACTCACAGTGGAGTGGAAGTTGAGCTGGGACAGGTTGTTTCGTGGGGTGAGCTGCCAGGTGTTCTTCAGGTTGAATCCCACTGCGCTGGTATAACGCTCTGGTGTGGGGATGAATCCACGAAATGTACTCTGTGTGAGCCGCACCGGACCATCATAGATCTGGAAACCTCGGATTGGGAACGTCCTACAGTAAGGGGGAAGGAAATCACCCATGTTATCAAGACAATTGACAGCAATAAATATATGGGAGAGAATGGCGATGAGGTAAACAGAGTAAGGGGACCATCACTCAAATGGATGACCACAGATTTTAGTCATCTACTGGCTGAAATCCAAAACTTTAAGAGTTTCAGAGGAACATGTTATTAAAAACTCCGACATGTTTCAGCCAGGCCATGAGCTCACCAGGGAGCAGGACATCAAATGCCTCAGACGTGACATGTGCCAAAATTCTTGGTCATATGGGCCATGAGTCAATTTTACAATTTCAAGGGTTCCCCCGAAAAAGACTCCAACTATGTTAACATTAGTGAAGCAGACATTGTGGTCACTGTAGTACAGTGCAAAATGTCACTTTTGTATATATGGAGAAAGTTAAGTTGGTTGAGGTAATAAGACTGACTGGTTGCATAATAATTATATTGGCAAGTTGTGTTTGGAAAACAATTTGGAATGTTTTCCTGAATTACTGTTTTTTCCTGTTGGGTTCAACCTTAGTTCCCTGTCTGAGGACAAATAATGAAAAACTTGTCCTCAGATGAGGAGCTAAGGTTGAACAGTTGATTTAATTTGTTTTCATAATGTGGGTGTTGTAAAGTAATTGCAAGAAAAAAACAATTAGACTTGGCAGTCTTAAGTTATTGCTATTAATGAAACCTTGCTGAACTATAATTAAAGGCCCAAATGATCCATTCATTGTAGTGGAACCATCTTAATTTTTGCAAGAAAAAAAAAAGTGAGTGTCAGCAGATATGGCAGCAACCACAATGACGACAGACAAACTGACAGAACCAGATGTCACAGTGCGGTCAGGAAGCCTGTAAAATGGCTATAAAGTTGTACACAGTGGTGACAGTGGTCACAAACTGACATAAAACCTCGTTCTTGAAACTAAAAAGGGCAGCAATTTTATGTTGCTCTACTCCTGTATAGCAATCTCTGTAATGAGAGAGAAAGACAGAAAGAAAGACAGAGAGGACTGTAAGGAGACCCTGAGGACATATAAAGCTCAAAACTTTGCTCTCATTAGGACCGTCCACTTAGTCCAACATGGAATTACAGCCTGCAGAGACTCTATAAACTTTCTCATTATGGAAGTCCTATTTAAGGCATTTTCAGTGAGGCACAACTCCAGAAAGACAGACTTGTATACCATCTGTATATTTTACTCATCAGTGAAAGTACTATTATTAATATATATTCATATAGGTCATATCACATATATTCCCTTTCAAAGAAGATCAAAATGATAGAAACAAAAGAAACAAAGGCACAAAGACAAAGACATGGACATCTAGCTGTGTCAAAGAAGCCTTAAAGATTTTTTATGCCTTTAAATATGTTTTACTTTCTATGCAACACTAAGCACTTTATCTTATCCTGCTTTTATCTTAATATAATTTGTTTCCTGTTTTGTTTCCTTTTTAAATGTAAAGCACTTTGAGCTGCATGTTTTGTATGAAAGCCGTTTTATAAATACACTTGTTCTTAAGCAATCAAATGTTACAATGAGTAATCCCCTTTCTACAAAAAAACATGTAAGTGATTCCAGCACAGTTTTTCATAAAAATAAACTGCTTAAAATATCACTGTAGGGAAGTCAGTCAAAACAGAACTTCCTTTCACATGAAGTCCACCCACTGCTTAAAGCAGCTGTAGCAGCCTCATCTGTCCATCTGTCCGACTACTGTACCTGATTGCCTAGCTGGCTCTCTTTCTTGTTTGTTTTTCCCTGCATATTTTTCTTTGCCAACTCCTCTAACACCAGCCCCTGCAACTCCTGAGAAAACTGGTTTGAATTTTTCCCTCAGTTCCACTTATATATCTTTCCTCCTTTCATCAACTGATCATCCACTTCTGTTTGCTCCACCTCACCTGTTTCTAGGCAGTGTCCTCATCTTTGCGTCAGCGCCTCCTGGGCCCCAGTATTTATTCTGTCCTCCATTGGTTCCTCTGTTTCGGCTTTCACCCACAAACAGAGACTGCGTCACCTCCTGGCTGGAGCCTTCATCCTTTGGGTAGCTGCCATCACTGGAGAGTAAGGAGATAAGGGAATATGGTCATTTAAAAAATCCTATCATACACTGCATTATGATTTATGCTCTTATGAGGATGAAAGCAGAAGAATAAATTGCACTGTGTTAAGCACCAAAGAGATGATTGTGACCACACTGGAGCTTTAAAGCTTTTTTCTCATTATTTATCAGTCATGAGGGGTTCTTAAGCAAGTCAATCTGGCATAGAGAGAAGAAATATAAGCAAATATAGCGGAAAAAAATCACGGGACTGTATGAGCAGAGTGATTTAGATAAGTACCCACCTGGCAAAAGATAATCCCACTCCATTGTCTGCAAAGCTGTTCAGAAAGAACATATATTTGTTAGTCTTACAAAATGTCAGTTAGAGAAGTAACATGAGATGAGTGTATTTTTCCCCAATACTATAGCATTGAGTGAATGATTAAGAAAGAAAAGAAGTGTTCTGACAGTGTCTTCAAAATTATATCTGGTACTTCATAAAAAATAATTAACTGTCAATTCATTGTTTCCACTTCAAAAACTGCCAGAATTAATTTGAGTTTGAACATAAAGTTGGGTCAAATGGTAAAAGTGGGTAAAAGTGCAATTTGTTACAAACAGTGGATGAGGTCATCAAAGGGAGTTGTGGTGGGATTACATCATACAACCAGCCCATACTGTCAACATTACAGTTTTTTTGACACCCTAATTTTTCATCTGAAACATCCTCAGTCTTCTGTCCTCTTGAAGACGTTCCATTAATCACATCACAACTTATGAGCCGCCTCACCCAGAGCTCTGGATGACAATGTCTCCTCCCCGTATCCACGCTCCTAAGTCGTTGTTCTTGAAGGAGATCAGAGTGTCGATGACCGCTGCCACCCGAGGGCGGCTGGGGTCGGCATTCTGGTGTGGTCGGAATCTGAGAAAACACATGCATGTTTCTATTATTATCCTTGTGACTTTCCATTGACTGCATTCATTACCGCTCAGCTTTCACCCTGTTAAACATACTGTTATTTACCCCCTAATCCTTCTGCACATGTGGTTCTCATGAAGTTCAGTGCACAAGAGAACATACAAATACACAAACAACACAAGATACATGTAGTCAATTGAACATTCAGAGAATTATGATGACTCATGGACCAGATAATCATAACGTCATCATACTATAAATCTGCACACGCATAATTCATAACTAGACTAAAAGTCTAAAAGCCCCACTGTTGAACTCTAGAGACTTCAGGCTTCAATACTCATTGCCTCCCACAATGAGCACTATTGCAGAAGAAGACATGGTGTCATAAAATACAAAAGGATTTATGCCCATTGGGAGCATGAAAAGGTTTTATGGCCATCTGCCTATTTGATTAGGAAATGTCTTACAAACCTGGTCGCACTCAATTCAGATCACAGCTAACCTTCAACACCAGGATTTATGCTCTGGATACCACAAAATATCCACTCATTTTATGACAATCTGGCAGTTAGTTTTTAAAACACCTTGTCCAATACCAAATGTGGCACAAGACGAAAGGTCAGAGAATTACATAAATCAGAAGGAACGATTCTTTACAAACTATTAATTAGCATTAATATCTAATGTCCTCTTTCTAGAGGTTTCTACAAAAAACAAAAATCCATCTTTCTCTCATGTAAGATTAATACTTAGTACACATTTTAACATTTAAACCCCCCTCTCATACCTCTGCACACATACATACACTCACTCTCTCACACACACAGAGCTTGGCCAGCAGTCTCAGTGTACACGTAAGATTTTTTCCGTCTAGTTGAGGGGTTGTGTTTGGGTAGGGAGCTGCAGAGAGGAAACTCTATCTGTGAAGCCTTGTTTTCTCTGTCAACATAAACCTGACAGAGCTTCCACTAAAATGTAGTAATAGAGTATATGGCCATCTAGCTATCCCAGTCAATGGCCATATCCTGCTAGATATAGCTATAAATAACTTAATTCACAAACAGTTATTGACAGTGGCATTAAAAAATACATTTGTAAACCACAAATAACTCAATATTTACATGGTGTAACTGTACACCATGGTGCATATGATCACCACAGACCCTCTAATAGTGCACAGTTATACACTTTGTGCAAAAACATACAGACTACACTAGTCAGTTGTAACTCAGTATCCATTTACACTCAAATAACTGCTCAAGTCCAAAATAATTAAAAAACTCTTGAGTGTGATAAATATCTATTTAAATAATTATACTTATCAAAAAGTAAAATGCTGTTGCACACACATACACACCTGGCGCTGTTATCTAGACACAGGTACTCCCGGGGGTCTGCAGCACTGGCATTGGTAGTCTTCACTCCTTTATCAATGAACAGCCCTGCCTGGGAAGATGAAAGTATGATTATAGTAAAATTCTCTCTAAAACTATGGTTAGAGATCCAAGTTGGGCCACTGGTCTATTTCTGTAGGACTGACAGAAACAAGACTACTAGTATATTTTACAGTGTGGGAACTGAGGCAATAGTAAATGTACTAAATTTAAATCCTAGGCTAAGGAGTTATGGAGTCAATGCTGCACAGGGTACTGCAGAAAGTAGGAATAGTGGTAAACAGAATTCCTGTGAATAATTTATAATGTGCGTATATGGACATGTAATGTATATTTACATACTCAATTTTATATGGATTATTTTTATATGTTTAAAAAATTAATTGTAAAATAAATTAAAGGAAAAATGTAGTATGTCTATATGTTTGTGTGTGTTTCTTATGTATATGGAAACCTGTGCTCTGAGTTGGTCCTGTGGTATAAGCGAGGTATAGTCTTAAACCTTGGGGCTCCTTCCTCTATAAGAGAGGCTGCTGTGGTCAGACTGAACAAAGAACTTACAGTTCACCTGCCCGACTTCTGTCATTACACAACAGAGCACTATTGTAGAGCTTACTCATGTTTATACGTGTGTGTGTGTGTGTGTGTGTGTGTGTGTGTGTGTGTCCATGACACTTTTTATAAGAACCAAGTGAGTAAGCAGAGAATTATGTGTAATCCTTTTTTGCAAGTTTTGAACACTGTATTTCTCTTGTCTCTATAAAACACAGAGGCAGAAAGAGACATCACCGAGAAGTTTGGCACAACCTGGTATACTGTACTGTTTATGGGGGACAAAGCCCACACAGATTTTAACCCACACCGATAATAAAACAGCTTAAAAGATAACCAACACTGATGATACCTTAAAATTGGAGTGTACACGGTTATTGTAAAAAATCCCCAGGGGAGTGAGCTCTGCCTTGGTCTCTGATACCAGCCCATGAGAGTCTCCGGTGGAAGAGCTGTGGAACACAAACCATATGCCAGCATCCTGGAACAAAGAAGGAAGGAAGAGCAGATGAATCATGCTCAGGGTACAGCCGCTCAACAGCAGGAATTTCATTATCTAGGCTCATATACACATCATCCATAAGTGGAGTTTTAAAGTAACATACAAAACCAATTAGCAGAACTGGGCAGAATGTCATACTATATGTGGGTCAAGTCCCACAGAAAGAATAAACCAGGTGTAGGAGTTCATACGAGCTCAAAAGCTCATTAAAGTTTATAGTTCAACAGATACGGAGAGACAACTTAAATATCACACGCATACCCCCTACCAATATGTAGTACTTTACACAGCCCTCCCCAGTGGACCTCCACACTGTATCTGCCAAGATGAAAAAGATCCTTGTCTTCTACTTTATTATATTACAGGTCTCACAATTCTATCATGCACTAATGCCTGTGAAATCCCATTTTATTGATGGATCACTTTGTTATGAGCATGAAAAAAAGCGAAAACAAAAGCATAATGTAATATACTACACTTCATATATCAATAAGGGGCTCTCCTTGTTGGTCATTCATTTTCATTAATCATTTGTAAAATGTTATTTTGAAGTTGTTTTCTTATATAACCCTGATGTTATTACCTGTGAACCAGCAGCTGCGTTGCTGATGAGATTGTTGTTGGGGTTGGCAATCCAGAATGTTGAAACTGCCCTGGAAAAGACAGAGACATATAAACACACATGCACAAAAAGATATTAAAACAGGCAGTACCTTGGCATAACAGAGACTATGACTAATAAGCAGAAGACAGAGATCAAAGAATCCCGTGATCTCTCAAAACTCCCTCAATAATCCACATCTCCAACATAAACCCTGGACAGGGACAGCTCTGCCAACACACACACAAACACACACACACAGTGAACCTCCTGGAAACAGACATGCTTCTCTCAAACAGGCATTTTTCTTTTTCTTGCTATGACAAAAACCTGTGGACAGTAGAGGTTGTTATTGTTCAGATAAAGCCACCCTGCCAATATCTCTTGCACACGCTATTACTAACTACAGTATCTCTTTCACATAAACATGGACATGGACCTTCTGTCTTCTCTCAGGTATGTCTGCATTATCTCACCAGGCTTCCCACACTGACATTTGACTGGGAGTCACAGACTTCAATGTCAGTGTGGGAGATTTAAAAGTGGCACAAATAATTTGTGTTGATTTGGCCCCACTGTTCAATGTTTCCAAAGATAAGGTAGTTCCTCAGTGTCTACTAGAATTCCCACCCTGAATATCAAGCTACTTGAGTCAATACGTTGGCTTATTCACAGCTCTCAGGGCTTGGCAAGCGCCTTCACAGTGTCCCTATTATTATCTGTCATTACAATTATCCTCATTCTTATGCCTAACAAGACCCCGGGGTCTCTGAATTGCAGCTGTTGCTGGTGGATGGATTAGTTATTTTATACTAAAAGGATACTAAGAAGTAGACCCTTTCTCTTCTGTGCAATATATGAAAATAGACCTCTGTGTGTACATGATGGCAGTTCAGAAAGTCTGCACTTGCTATATCACTACAACAACAGGATAACTTGTGACAAACCAGAGACAAAGCCATTATCCTAATCTCTTACTTGCACTCTGTACTGGGCGAGGGAGTGTAGCCCTTGTAGACTTTGTCCTTGATGCTAGTACAGAGGGTTTCATTGCGGTCAGTGGGTAGCAGAGTCCCAGGTCGAGTCAGCAGGCCAAGGTTGTGGTAGAAAGTGTTACGTTGCTCAATCCCATCCTCAAGGAAGAAACAGTGACCCAAGGTGTCATAGCCTACGGTGTTCTTCACCTGGGTCAAAGAGAGACGAGCCCCAAGATATTAAAAAATAGAAATAGAAATGAGGATTTTTAGAGCTTTTAGAGTTCTCAAAAGGAGAGAAAAATAAATACATTTATGGATTTCCCTTTCCAAAAAGGAGGTAGTTCACACCTAATGGAAATATGCAGAAAATCCTGGTAAACGAGGGCTAAGACAACATTTTTAGTCCATCTTGGAATCATCAACAACCCACAAGGAAAATACAGTATGTTCCAACTTCTAGATGTGCTTGCCTTAATAAAGTTCCTGAAAGAATTTCCTACTAAGACCTTTTTTATTGAACCCATCTGAAGCTATGTACAGAATGATGGTATCAAGAGAGCTGTCGAAGAAGATACACAACAAGATCATTTTCACATGGTCATTGTGTCAGAAGGGAAACAGGAAAAAAGCAATGAGACAAACAATGTTATCCAGAACTTTGTAAATTCCATTTCCTCAGTGCAACTAGGAAGAATGCTTTCAATCCTGTGGCCTCGAGGACAAAAGTTAACCCATCACCGCTTGACGTCAAGAGAGAGTATAACACACACACACACGGAAAAACATGGTGATTTTGCAGTTAACAGCCATACTTGTGTGAACATAGTTGTGTCATATGATTTCACTAATCCAGCATATAAAAACATTTACACTAATTAACTAGTTAGAAAATGATCTGTTTTGAAGTATCTTTGGAAAGGGGTGCAATAGTTTCCATTAGAGGAAGATATGGGACAGGAGGGTTTGAAGATTAAGGAAAAGAAGGAGAAGGAAAGGAGGAAAAAAAATGGAGGAAACAAGCCATTGCAGTAATCCAGTGATGGAAGCTGTAATTGATGACTATTCAACAGCTAACATCACATGGTACTGATTAGTAAGAGCTCTCTCACTCATGCTCCAAACACACATATGTTTTCATGTGTCTACAGCTGTCTTTTCTTTGTCCTCACGTACATTATAGACTTACTCATCACACACAGTTTACTAACCAGCAGACCGTTGGTAGCGTGGATGGTGAGGCAGCGGGAGAAGGAATGATGTATGGAAAGCCCATCCACATAGGTGGGCTCCCAGTAGCCTCCCCTCTGGTCTACATCTCCGCACAAATGGAAGTGGAGGGGGTAGTGGCCTTTCTCGCCCTGCTGGCCCATATTCTTCAGCTCCACATGCGACAGATGCACTGATGAGTAGTTCCCAAAGATCTGCCGGTGACAGAGAGACAGAGAAATAGAGAAAGGCCAGAGTGAAGGATAAGTTGCAAAAGAGAGGGTAATTTTAAAATCAATCAAGCAAGAACAATGAGCTAATATACACTGCTAACGCAAATAACACTAGCTTGTGGAGGGTAACATAAGCTTCATATTGTGCCACAAAAGTAGGCTAACCGTCCCACTCTGGTCCAATCAAAGGTTTAGGACTACAGTATGATTTTCTGTACTTGTCTATGATCCCTCTGGGATATGAACTATAGCTCTGTTGGCATTATGCGCCAGTGAGTCAAACTGTGCCAAAACCACTGATGTTCCCTTCGATGAATAAGGAATGCGAGTTATAGAAACACACATGGGGATGCACACATGCACAACAAAAACAGACAGGGAAGCAAGTGAAGTTAAACATGAACGTCAACAAATAATCGAATACAAATATGCTGTATAATGCTTCCTAGGAGGTCTTTTTGTGGGTATGGCATAATCCACACAGTCTGGTTCCTGTTAAGGGGTATTGGCCAATCCCTCCAGTTAACTGTAACTTACACACACACACACACACACACACACACACACACACACACACACACACACACACACACACACACACACACACACACACACACACACACACACACACACACACACACACACACACACACACACACACACGTATACGTTCCTGCATACATAGATAGATATTCACAACAGACTGCTAGTGTTATATCTATGTGCAGAATAGGAGTACTGTGTGTGTGTGTGCGTGTGCGTGTGTGTGTGTGCGCGTGTGTCATTTTAGAGGCAGATTGTGTAATATACAATAAATTAATGTGTTTTTGTTGGAGACAGTTCATGTGTTCAATCCTCTGATACATACTTGGACATATCAAAATAGTTCTTTATCTCTGAAATCTGTAATAATGCAAAGCTATGATGGTACAATTCATATTTTTATGATACCATAATAGGAGCATGGCTCTAGGGATGTTAATGTATGTCAGTCGGTCGGTACACCACATCCAGATGGAAATATCTTGACAACTATTCAATGGATAGCCTTGAGATTTTGGTCAGACATGTCTTGAAAACTATTTTGGATGGATTGCAATGAAATTTTGTACAGACATTTATTGTTCCCAAAGAATAAACGCTTCCTGATAGGCCAACTTTTCAGCCTGTGCCACCAGCAAGTCAAAGGTTTCACTTGTCCTGTGAAATATCTAAAGATTTACTCTTTGTATTGCCACAACATTTGGTGCTGGCATTCGTGATTCCCAGAGGATGATTCCTAATAACTTGTTGTCTCCTACTTTTTTTAGGTTGAATTCTGGTTTTTTGTGAAATTTCATGGATGGATTTTTTAATGGTTTTTTTTTTTTGTTCCAATTTTTTTTTTTTTAATTTTAAAAAAAATATTTTTTTTTTTTATTAAAAAAAAAAAAAAAAATAAAAATGTGCACGTATACGTTCCTGCATACATAGATAGATATTCACAACAGACTGCTAGTGTTATATCTATGTGCAGAATAGGAGTACTGTGTGTGTGTGTGCGTGTGCGTGTGTGTGTGTGCGCGTGCGCGTGTGTCATTTTAGAGGCAGATTGTGTAATATACAATAAATTAATGTGTTTTTGTTGGAGACAGTTCATGTGGTAAAAAAAAAAAAAGTATTAGAAAGTGTTTATTTTGTTTAGCACAAGGGGGGTTGGTTACATAGAGCCTAAGGAATGTTATTGTGCATTTGCCACCAAACTGAATGAAATCGTACTATCATTAACAAAATTACAGTAAACTCATTGTCTATATCAAGTCCCATGTAGGTCAGAGAGAATATGATGCTTCACAGAACAAATTGGAAATGTGAATAACCCTAATTTAGGCCAGCGTAAATATAGAATGTATGAACACTTTAGCTCTGCTGTATGGAAACTGTCATGCAGATTACTGCAGACACAGTTAGCTTTAATGTAAAGTCATACTCAAACATGCAGACACATACATCAGCAAATACAGACATAAAGTCTAAAACAGTTTAAACAAGGACATGTGCTATAAAATTACACATACACACACACACCTTGATGTGGCCTCCATAGGTGTCGTGGTTGTAGAACTGGCACAAGTTGTTTCCGTAGCACGAGTTTTCCATTTCTCCGTAGATGAGAATGTTTCTGGAGAGCAGGGCCACTTCAGCACGCATGTCCACTCCATCTATGATCTCTCCAACATGGTTATACTGAGGTTTTCCTGGGCAGAGCAGACAGGTAGATTATTGGTCATATGCTACAACTAGATTAACATTTTAAAGGAAATCTGATGCACAACTGCACAAAACCTGGAAATGTGCAAGTCAGAAATTTGTATTACTCAATCAATGCATGCCATCTCATCTAAAGAAAGCAGAAAAGCAAATGAACACTGGAGGAAGTTTAATTTAACCGAATAAAAACACACTTTGGCCTCAAATTCTGGCAGAACCTTTCTCAAGTGGCACAAATCATACAAAAAAACAGCTGAATATAAAATGTTGAAACAAACAGGTTATGACATTTAAACTAAACTAAGGTATTTTATTTCTGAAAATAGCATGCTTCAAACTGACAACCACAGGAAGTATGCCTAGCAGCACACACTCAAACATAAATAGCTACCCACACCCCAAACCCAACCAACCGAAATAATAAAACAAGTAAAAGCTAAAAGTAATCAAATTCATATGAAATACAAAATAATCAGCTCTGCGGCGATACAGAAAGCACCCCTTGCCCACAGGGGGCAGCTGCCAATGATAACATGCAGCAATACTCCAGCTGGTCAGCCCTTCCTCAAGGCAACAACACAAAAACTAGGCGCACGCACACACAAACACGAATACACCCTTGTCTCCAGGAAGGGAGTTGGTGTTTGTTGACAACAGTGGAATGGGATCAGGAAATGTGTCCGATAGAGAGACGGACAAAAAGTAACTAACAGATTGTTATAGCAGAGGCAATGTATCTCAGTCCTCTGTGACCTGCTGTGGTTTTTATAAAACTTTACTACCAAAACATAAGCTAACAATCACTTAGCCTCAGCCAATAATTTAGATCACCGTAACAGCTGAACAGTAAAGTAGATCTCTTGTGACCTGCTAATCACACTTATTGACTACACTGAAGAACTGGTGTGAGACCCTCTGTGTCCTCTTCTGCTGATTCGTCATGAGTATATGTCTGTACTGTACTCCCCCTCTTCCGTCCTTTTTCTTTTGAGTTCCACTGTATATAGCTCGAAATGGGACCTTCAGTAAAAACCTTGAGTCGGACAACAAGCCACACACACGAAAGGAGAGTTGCCCTGAGAGGACAAACACTAAAAACAGACAAAGCTTGTTTCAGTTTGCAGCCAAGGCAACCAAACCTATTCTCTCAAAGCACACATGCCACTGTCCTCTCTCTCACCTTGTATCCTGACCTGCCTGCTGGTGCAGCGAGAGCAGGGCAACAAGGTAAACTCTTCAGCCTGGTGCATTGAGTAGTCTGTGCTGGCAACTACAATCTGATCCCCGGGTTTCCAGGTCTGCTGCACTTCATCCTGCAGGTTCAGCACTACCTGGTCCACAGCGTCCACCTGGAAGCCTGAGATGGGGAAACCTGGGAGGAACATAGCACTTTATTTAAAAAAACGTACAGTATAGAACATAATTATAATGCTTTTTTATTACCTTTCATACAGATATATTATACCTTATAAGATAACCATAATTTTCAACATAGTATGGATTTTTTACATAGTACAGCAGTTTTTCTCCAAGTCCTAAAGGGCCTTATAAAGGCTCTCTACGTGTAAAAACAAAATAACATTTCCTGGCTTTTGAATAGCGCAATAACCACTGAGATATTGTGCAGCAAAGACATTCTGAATGAATGCCAGAAATGAAGCGTTTGTGTACAGCAGCTATTAATACTATTAAGTTGTGGGCAACATCAACCAAAATTATTATGTAAAGATAGTTACAGATAACCCCAGCAAATGGAATCATTTTACATGTTATGTTCCACGGTAAAACTGAGTCACTGTCAAAGTGTATTTTCCAAGGTGCGAACAAGCACAGCTGCAATAAATAAATACAGTCGGTGTGTGCTAGTGCCTCACCCAAACCACACACACACTTACATCTGCCCTAAGACCTGGTATTGGTCATAATGGCATGGTCACAAAAGCACTGCCACTCACATAACAAGAATGTCTCAAATATTCAGATGATTGATCTGTAAAGCACTTGGCATGTGGTAAACCTCATACCTCACCCGGTTACCTCTCTCCTAGAGTTGGGTAAGTACAGGTGTCGCTTTGATACCACTTAATTTATTGGCCCCAATGTTCGCCATTTTCTTCCCGGGATAGTCTTGACTGACGCTATATGTTCAACTGGTTTTGAAACCGATTTGATGGTAAGCTGTATCTCACCATTCTTCCACTCGCTGTAGGCGGTGACCGAGAAGCCCACTCCGTCCACGGTTGTGAAATTCCGTCTCGCCACAGCTCTCCCTCCTGTGTCATGGTTTTCATGTTCCCTAACGTCTTCTGAGCATGACGTGTTACCGCCGCCTATCACCGAGACCAAAGCCCACGCCTGTCTGGAGAGACCAGAGGGATGGTCAGAAAAGTTGGAGAGACATAGAGGAGAGGGAGTCATTTTTCAGACATCACAGTATATCGACTAATTTCACGCAGACATATCAAACACATGATGAAGTTCTCTGCCGAAGTTTTCCATAAGTCTACAAAAATGTCTACATTTTTGGAGGATGAAAATGACCTTGAAGTGTAGCTGACAGTTACTGCTAAATATTATTACTTCACTTGTTTCATCAGACTTATACAGGGTACGTGAACAAGAGATTAAAACTAGTCACTAGTATAATGCCCTTAAGCAGAGCAGAGCTGTGCTGGATAGGAGGCGAATAAAGAGCATGTCATGTAATAATAAAGACAGCATGAGAGATGGAAAAGGAAAGAAAGGATATCTGAGAAGTAGAGGGATTATTAAAATGAGGACAGAAGATCTCAGGAAGGGTGTTCATATGGCCTCAGAGGAATACTGGGTGTTCCTGCCATGTCCAAAACTTTGTTCAAACCCAGCTTTTTACTTTTGCTTCCAGTTCTCCCTTCTCACACCACTGCACACTCTATTAAAGCAGGGATGTCAAGAAAAATATTTGTGAATACAATGATTAAAATGATTAAATGAGAAGGAGAGGCTGAAATCACTTTGAGCAGAGGAGCTTGAGGGTGTGGATAGCGAAAGGGATTGGGAGTTGTAGGGCGTATGACCTAAAACGAGACAGTGTACTGGACTTGTAGCCATGGATGTTTCAAATGTCATGCTCTTAGCTTGAGAAAGAAGAATGACTTGAAGTCAAGCTTAAAGCCTTTTTAGCTATTGATGCATATAATAATATTTTACAACCATTGTCCTAAACCATGCCATGACCTTTAAACACTTCTTCAGCACAAACTGACCCTTAGCAATATGACCTTCTCACACCATTTAACCACTCAGAAGCCTATTTTTAAACCTATCCATTTATCTGGCTTTTGTACATATGGAGTAAAGGTAGGAAAGTAATCTCATCAGAAGTCTATTTTTCCACTGAGGTATTAAATACAGTTCCACATAAAATTAACAATCACACTTAGCTCTCCAGCTCAATTTTATCAGGTACTTTGATGAATCTGCAACTCACGTAAAACACTCAATCAACTCTTTGGAGAACAAACCATGACTAAAGTGAGTTCAGAATGCCAATGTTTACCTACAAAGTCTCTGTGGCTATTAGCAGCAGTTTCCAATACCATCGTCTCCAACATGCCTCTGTGTTAATATCTGTCTTTATTCATAAAAACTGTTCCCACTGGCATAATCACAACCTAAATACGCCTTACTGAAGATGAAAGAGCCCCTACGACATGTCATCGCACACCCCACTGATACACAAACAGAATCCATCTGGGGATAGACTTTGTTCTGTGGCTAGAGTCGCAGTGTGTGGCTTTCTGTGGGTTTTCCTGCTGGGTAAAATCAAGGAAAGGCCCCCTTTATATCCTGAGGCTGCTGATATGCTGTGCGAGTCTGCGCTTTATAAATCAAACAGAGATGAAAGAATAAGAGAGAGTGGTTGTTTAACTGTTTCCTTTCGCCACATCCTTGATTTGATGTTCATCGGGGTTTTAACGACCTCATTGTTCGACCGGAAATAGGGAATGTGTGGAGGCCACTAGAGACCGCCATGAACGTGTGTTTACGTGTGCTGAGAGACAAAGATTAAAGACACGGGGGCAATAGCGGCCAACACATTCAAGTATCTGTGCCAGGAAGGATGGTTGATGATGGTGATGGTTGAGAACCCCCTACCGATATTCAAAGGTATTAAGGTAATGTGCTAGTTTGTCAGTATATTTTAAATTAGGTATAAATTGGACATTAAAAAGGATTAAAGAGGTACATGAAACATGCCCTAGGCACCCAGGTAGGCATGGTGCAAAAAAACAAAAATTGAAAAATTGGTTTCCAAGTAGGTTCCAGCTGCATTCTTTGCGGTTTCTTTGCAACACGCCATTATTATTACACATCATATACTGATCTTCACTTCACACTCAACCCTCACCACCCAACTCTTTCCGTTTAAAATGACTCAGCCTAACATAGTGTGACTTTAATGAGACATTAACCTGCATGCTCTCTCATAAACGTGTGCCATGCGTTTCCTCCAACTACAAGCAAATCCACAGATAGCTGAAATAAAAAAAAATCCTCTCCTATAAATGGTCAAAACATTAAAAGTGCACACCATGAACTTTTTGGTACACACACACACACACACACACACACACACACACACACACACACCTCTGAACATATGCAGGGCTCCATTGTCTGATGCTTTTAAACCACTGTGCTGTGAATTTGAGGGGGTTTGTTCGAAGACTGTGCTGGCTTGGCACCCACCCCCAGAGGCGAAATGTGACACTGGAGAATCTGGCGTAGCACTTGGCTTTTCAGCCAACCAAGGTCCAAACCAGGCTGAGCTACAAATAACTCAAGAGTGAAATGCTGTACTTTGAAAGAAACACATTTGTCCAGACATGTGAGTGACTGACAGTAACACAGGGTGTAATATCATGTAAAGCTAAAATCCAAGTCTCTTACTTAGTGAGCTTAAAGAAAGCACTAGACAACATGGACAGGACTCAACTCTTTATAAAACTTCCAGTATCTGTCCTTCTACAGGAATAAGCATGACGGACATAAAATCTCCTGAATTGACACATTTTGCACAAATCCTGGAAACTGGCTGTAACCCCATTATCCGGTATGTACTTCCTTTACTTGCAGAGGAGGATTTAGTGAAAACAAATGGAATGAAAATAAAGATATATGAAAGAGGACCTTTTTCCAGGGAAGTTGAACCTGCAACAAAATGCTGGTATTGTCAGTCACGTATTGAGACTTCAAAGGTGAGGGGTCTTACTTGAGTAGTGAAACAAAAACCCATTAAACTTCTTTATCAGCCCCTGGAGACCAAGAATAAACACAACACTCCCAAAGACTTGCAAAGACAACACACCATGGAGAATGAATACAAACTCTCCAAGGCACTTTCTGCAACACAGCTGAGACACAAACCGACTCACGCATATTTCCAGTCAGTTAAACAACAGGCACACTCACCAGGCCAACATCAAGAAACAATCCATGTGTATATTGATAGTATATAGTATGTAACATCCATCATATTCATAAATTGGCACTATTTACCTGTATTTGAGATCATAAACAAAGCTACTGCCGAGCTTCTCTTCAATGGCCTTCTTGGTTTCATCCAGAAGACTTTTCACAGCCGAGTCTCCTATAGCCAGTGTGACAATGCGGCCCGCTGGCAGGGAACGCAGCAGCTGGGTGAGACGTTGACTGTCATTGCGAGAGTCGTGTGTGTCGTAGCGCTCAGTAAACAGTATAGCAGCTGTGTCCTGGTCCACCACGCGCAAGTTGATGCCTCGGCTGAAGTTTCGTTGGAAGGCATAACCCCCTGTGGCCAGACCGGAGGCTGGGACGCTTTGGGTCAGCAGAGACCAGGAAACAGTCTCAGTACCATGTAGCTCTAGAGTCCCGCCGCTCTTGACGCCTATGAACTTGCGGCCCAGGCCAGGCACTTCAGGGACTGCCTTGTTGTCAGAGCGGCCCACAAGGGCAATGGTGGCGCGAGAACGGTAGCGACATTTGGGAGCACCGATGTGAAGGGCCCCTCCGTCTTCTATGAGGATGTGACGTGTTCTCAAGGTTATGTTTTTGGAGCCGTCAGCATTGTCTGCAAAAACTACCCGACCTGTAAAAAGGCAAAGACAAACAAGGGCTCTTAGTTTCTGTGTTTTACATCCATAAATATATCTCCTGAACAATGTCACTTGCCATATTTAATAAACGTGAATCCATCAAAGTTACAAATAAAAATGATATTTAACAAATCATGCACCATGATGTGCTTACCGCCTGACTGGATCGTTAGTGAATGGAAGGTAGCAGAAGCCTCCAATCTAAACAAATGTCCCTTCCTGACAACAACAGCCTTCTCTGGTTGGTGGCCTGGGTTCCAGCTACTAAGGGATGGGTTGTGGTCCGGACAATTCTCTGCAAACATGAGTCAGTAACAATCAGTAACAAATCAGAGAACCACATACCTCTCATTGGACAGGGATATCCAAGAATATAGACAGATGGTACATACAGCAGGGAACACAAGTGTAGGAATTTGTTATTTGTATCAGTAATTCGTAACACTGACCATCTAACACGTCTCCACTTGTGAGACTAAGGATGAGAATGAGGGTGAGGAAGAAAGCCCCGATCGACACCCCGAAACAAATGAATGTGTTTTTTCTTTGCTGGAGGTTCTGAGCACGCTCCCTACGCTGGTTCTCCTCCGACAGGCTGAAAGTGGCCTGACGCTCCGGCGGGGGGCCGTGAGGTTTTATTGGTGGAGGCGGTGGAGCTTTGGCAGGTGGCGGCGAGCGGACTGGGGCCACCCGCCCGGGGACATATCCCGGAGACCTTTGGTGGTTGGCGTGGGGCGGAGCCACAAAGACCGGGAAGCGGCTGGGGCCATCACTCGTCGGCATGGTATACGTGTCTGCTACCTGAGAGGAGAAAAATAAGAAAGAGGGGAAGCATAAAAAACATTAATGACGTGGATTCATTGAGGATGTGACAATGATTGTTTATTTTCCCACCATCTGTCACATTCAATTTTGTATTAACTCAAAAAAAAATTTTCTTGTAAAGACCAGTAAATTGTAATTACAATAGTATCATAAGTTGTATCATAAGGACAATTCAAATGGGGATGAATAAAAAAAAGAGGTCAGACAGAAAAGGTCAAGAAGGAGGAAGAAGACACAAGAAGAGCACATAAAATGACAGTAAAAGCAGTAGGAGGTGAAGGATGAAAAGGGGCTGATTCTGGGGAAAACAGGCAATAACCCTTCGAGCGTCTCATTCACAGGACTCAGGGTAAAGAACCAGGGTTAAAAGGACAATTCATCCATTATTCAAAAACAGTAAGCTTGTCCCCTGGCTAGTTTGGCTCAGACAGAGTGACATCGGCTGCTCTTGTCCACAGTAACGAAGGAGGTTGTGAATAATGGATCGCAACATTCCTGAGACTGTGTTAACACAGCCAAAACAGATGGCCCCAATTACAGTAGGAAAGGAGGAGAGTGCTGTAGCTTGAGTCTCCACTCGCTTTACTTCACACAAATGGAGAAGGTAGCACAAAGTGAGCTTAAGCCATAGGCGCACACACATACACAGAAAGGTCATATGGACACACACCTGCACACACAAACACTCGGGGGTAAAGGAAATGACATTGCAGAAAAAAAAGGCGTCAGTGGCAGTTTTTTCTTTAACACAAACACCGCTGCAACGCTGTAATGGCATCACAGCTTGCTACTATAGGTCTGTCAGCAAGTTCAAACTTTTACATGTCACATTTTGGACACGACTTGATGAATGAGATTGTTACAAGTTTAAAACTGCAATAACTTTCAAGACAGGCTCATTCAAACCAAAGACAACAGTTGACACCCTGAATGTGACAACTGTCAGTCTCTATCAGAAGAGACAGCTTTACACCCACACACTGTCAAATGTGTGAAACACAGACACACACGCTCCCGTACCAACCCATAGACACACAGAACCGATCATTGTCTCACCAAGCCAATTAGTCATCATTTTAGCCCAGAGCACAAGGAACCTCTTCAACTAATAAACAAAGCAATGTACAATCAAGGACTGCTCAACAAGGGCTCTGTCATTTTATGTAAGCTAGACCCAACAGCAGCTGTTTCACCCACTTAACTCGAATTATCCCATTACAGTCTCTCTGAGTCAGTCTTCATAAGACTGTAGCTGATATTTCTCCATCCGAATCTTAAATGGAAAGTCAGGCATGGTGATTACACTTTCTTTGGGCTCTTCATGTTCTTAGTCTGCGCCCTGCATTATACTGACTCAGCGGGAGCCCTGTGATGGGGAAGATCCCCCCAGGCATCACTTTTTATAACCCTATCTCAGGCTATGTTTTTATTCACATTCCTCACCATAAAAGGGCCAGACTGCTCCTGCTGGTCTGCTACTAGCTGACCTGTCAGAGAATAAAGAGTTGTGGACTTTCACCTTAGGGCTCTAGAAAACACACTCATCACAAGGCTGCACTGCTTCTCAGGGACCTCATGCATTTCCTAATAGCCTAATTCCCTCCCTCACTGTCATATTTTCCTGATTTCAGAGCTACTGAATATCAAACAGATGTGGGTGGGGGGGGGACACTGGAGTCAAAGCGGGACAAGACCACCACACATTCCTCAGCTGTAAAATCATCCGACATTGGCAGTGTAACAAACATAAAAGCCACGTGTTGCCCAATATTAACTCAAAACTCCAGGCAGAAACAGCGCTGTCACAACCCTGTACTACTACACCACCAGCAGCACACTTACAGTAAGTAGGAGCAGTGAGTGAGGTTTCCTACACTGAGCGAAGGTTAAAGAAGCTGCGTTAAATGAGAGGATTTTATTACTTATGCTGATTTATGGGCTTGTTTTGGCCAGAGTGACTCCTTGCACACCAAAAACACTTAGCTTATTACCGACATATCGCCACAAGAAGAGGAACCTAAAGGCGAAACATGTGGCATACACTGAGCATTAGGTTAAGTAAGAAAATATCAGCGTCACACTGCAACTTTCATAAAACGTTAGCTTGGACACACAAAAAGCACCAGTTAAGTTAGTAAACTGTCTTTTACTAGCGCAACGTTATGAGCTAGTTAACCCTCTTCATCAGAAAAAACAACCCTCAACTTAAACGCTTCACCCGGTGAATCCTCTCTCCCTCTCTCCCTCTCTCCCTCACCCTCCCCAACGGTTGACAGACACGGTGTTAAACGGACGGACGGTGAGCTCGTACCGTTGGTGAGACTGTCCTCTCCCGCTCTGTCCATTCGCTCTCTGCCGAGCCGTTAAAGAAACGCCGACCCGGTGGTGGTGAGACGAATGACTTACGTCCTCACCCTGGCGAGCTAGCTTTCCGTGTCTCCCTTTTTTATATAACGTTATATATATACTTTTTCTTCACATGGTGTTTTTTTTTTTTTTTTTCCCCTTCTGCTGATGGGCTGTAGTCCGTCCGTCGGTCAGCCCCCCCCTCCCACCGGTATCCCACCGAGAGGAATCCAGGCGCGGCTTGGAAGAGAGGAAGTGGTGATGCGTTCACATGCTGTCGGGAAAAAGCACACACATGGGACTTAAAGCGCATATCTAGAAATACCAATGATCACTTTTGGGCTGTAACTTATTACTAGTAATGAGATTACAGCAAGAATATTTCTTTACGCAGTAACTAGTTGTGTGACTAATTACTATTACACTCTGTAATAATAACATTACAATTACTACTCCAAAATCGAAATAGTTACACTATTCATGTCACCCTCTTCTGATTTGAAATACAACAATGTAATCACATCCTTGGATTCATTTTTGTAATCGTAAAGGAAACTAAATATTCCATTATTTTGATTTCAACAAAAAAACTGGATTGTTTTTTTGTTTTTTTAATTGTGTAGGGAGTAACTAAATAATATAACTAGTAGTGTAACTAATTACTGTTGGCAGGGAATAATAAGTAATGATATTGTTTTGTTAAAGAGTAATGAATATTTATTTTGAGTAACAAGCCCAATACTGATGATGATTATGTAGTTGTAGTGGTAGTTATATTATTATTATCAGGCTTGGGGAGTAATGGATTACATAATACGTAACCAGGATACAAAAAACAGTTATCAAGTACAGTTACAGAAAAACAGACGTAATCAGATAATTTTTACATTTAGTAAAATGGGGATTATTTAGCAAGACACTGAGCAGAAGACACATTTTTTCCGTTTCCATTTTCTTTTCAAAGGTTACATTGCATTGGATTTTTCATAATGTATTAATAATTGTTGTGACTGTTCAGTTACATCTTTTATAGATTTCAAAAACTAAATACTGTTTTAAAGCATTATCCAAAATAAAATGTTCGTATGAATTTACATCTATATTTGTTATGTTCAATTATTTCATTTATGCAATCAAATGATGTAATATATTATGTATTTATTGGACTTAAAATAGCCAGATGTAAACTAGGGATGTTGAGTGTAACAATACTGTAATAAGCTTATTTTCATAGTTGGTAGTAAGAGTAGCAGCTTTAAAATCAGCTTTAATCATATCGATCTTTGATTTACAGACTGACAGTGACTTACCTCTGCTGCAGTGAGCTATTGATACCCTGTTTACAGGATCCTTTAATGGGAAAAAGCTTTACAGTTAAAAACTAACAGTGAAGTATGAAAGCACTGAGAGAAACAGCACATCCCTGCACAACAAGCACACTTGTAACTCTGAAGCTGAAGCACAAACTAGCTGTTTTTTTGTTGACTTAAAGATAAAGCAAACACTGAAGTTTTATTATGTGGCCTGCGCGTTTCGGTTCCCAACCTAAGGTACTTGAAACAGGGACAGGCCTCTGTCTCAAGATCTGTGCAGGGAAAAGGGGAGTTTCAGAGGAGTCATTGAATGGGTCACAAGGAGCGCATAAACTGAGGGGAGGGGCCTAAACCTAAGCCACACTGCCGCCTGCTGGTAGGAGAGAGAAAATACCCTATTACTACCCTCCAATGTTGGAGGCAGACAGGTGGGCAAACCAATAAAAAAAAACCTTAATATTAATATTCCAAATTATGATTTATGAAATATCAAACACTGAGAATATAAAAAATACAATAAAGCTCGCTGTGTGACAGAAATAGAGTGTAACTCCCATAACCTTTACATGTCTCTTTTTCATTGCAGTCACACTGCAGGAATTCCCCCACATCATTTCTCATAACTCATCCATATTCTGTTACTGTCCCTGACTCTAGGCAGCAGCGTTGACCTCTTGACCCCAAGTAGCAGTATCAAGTTGACATTTTTTCCTTTCAGTGGAGTCTCTTCAAATATCATCTCTTTAGTTTGAACTGGGGGAAGTAAGACAGAAACACACTGCACAGAACATGGTTATCTCTAGTATATTAACTAAAGAAAGATGTTGCAGTATTATGAACAACACGCAGTAATACCACAATATGCACCCTCAGATATTACATGCCCCTGATACACAAAGGTAATATTTGATGCAGGGCTGTTGTGTTGGATTTTATTAAATTGTACAGGTGTTTGATAATGTGCCCACCTGTTTTTAGAGTCTCACAATTCAATCTTCAAGTTTTCCAAAAGCATAAGACCCCAAACACATGGTAATCCCTGAGAAATTGGTTGTTAAAACTGATTCGTAATGACAATCAACCTGACAGAGGGAGTGTGTATGTTGTTAACAGTAAATATCAATCTGCTTTGTTGTGGTGCAGTCAAATCACATCTCCTTCCATAAACAGAAGCACTCTTGTCCTGAGAACATGAGCTCAACCCCGTCATAATAACAACAAGCCCCCCCCACTTCGTAAGGACTCCATTATTATAATATTTGTTATGGCACAAGGCGATCCATCTCTAATATAGAACAAAAATGAAATATGAAATCAAGAGTCACACATTGGGTTGCTTCTCAAATACCATTTTATTTTCTCTATCCATGTTAGAATTACTATATTAATATTGTTACTACATACAAGTTCCTTCTGTATTGAAATATGCTTTACAAAATTAATCTAATCAAATCAGAGATGACATTAGTCAAACTGACCAGTACAAAGGTCATCTGAAAAGCCAACATGATGGCCTACCATGGTATATTAGTTGTCATATCAAGAGTTAGAGAAGTAAGAGCTGAGAGATGATGACAAAAGCTTGTGAAAGAAAAAGAAAAATTATAACAAGTCCAGTACAAATATTATTTACAAAGTGAAAATGAAAAAAATCATAACCTTGCTTATAAGACAAATGAGTTGTGAAAAAAATAAAAAGTTTTTTCAACAGACCATCACCTGACAAACGGTTACCAATCCTGATCTGGATCTGGGTCAGTCTGACAAACATTAGGCTCGCTTTGCTTTTCTCTCAACCTGTAGTAATCAGACCTGAAGGTAGCAGTAGGCTACAGTAGCACCCATTGACTTATTGGTTAATTGTCACATAACAGTATATCTGACCCCTTTTGTGAACAAAGGCTCAAGTGTAATACAGGTATTAAAAATACCCATAAGAATATAATTCACAGAGATTTCTTATATGATTCTGTGTTTGTTATACAGGCCAAAAACATAAGAGAAACTAGCTTTTCATGGCATGCAGTAGCAGTTTGACATTTGTTTTCAGGCCTCTGACAGCGCCTTAATGGATTCATCAGCTGGCCAGTGCTTTGTTTTGCTTCACTTGGCATTAAAAGGGCAAATCAACAGACAACAATGGATCCAGAAATACCATGCAGACAAAAAGATAAAATTAAGACAAAAAAAACCAAACCATTCTGTCCATGATGGAGGCCTCTAATGCTGAGCCACTTACACTGAAATAACCCATTGTCCCAGTAGACATATTGTGAGGGAGTAACTCAAGGTCTTTTTTTCAGCATAATGTACTTAAGTACGCTTCTCAATAACTCAAAATAAAACATTTCCATTTTTTAAACAACTTCCTGAACTGAAAATGAGTCGACAATAGCTGTGTTAATAACGTTCACCATTCAGTCCGGATTGGCATTAGTGGTATAAGTCTTGATCAGATCACAGACCGGTAAGCTGCTGTCACAGTAATTAAATTTTTATCACATAAAAAAGATACATATAGAAAGATCTGATTTAGGTACATAAGCAAGATCTGTAATAATAACTACGTACATTATTTAACTTTATATCTTCAGACCCAAAGACAGAAAAAACACTGTCAGGGTACTGGGATTCATAATTAGCTACTATATCAAGGCGAATACTTGCTATTTTCAAAGAGGGGTCAGATATTTTGTCCACAAAACTGTCCAGCATTCAATTTTTCTGAAAACATCAAGTTCATCAAGTTCATCAACTACAGCGTAGTGATAGTGATCTGACAGCAACAATACTTCGAGGTAAACTCCGACGTAAGAGCTGTGGAAAAATTTTCAAAAGAAAGTGTGAGGAAATAACCCTCACTTTATTGGTCACCGACATACAGCCCCAGCCTTTTAACTGGCTACGTGAGCTGCTGTAAGAGCCCCATCTTGCATCATATTCTTGTAGATTGTAACATTAAACTGTACCATTTTAAGACTAAACAGAGAAGTAGAGACTGAATACAGCTAACAGAGCTTTGGAGATGTTTCTAGATAGTATTTGTACAAAGTACAAAGTTATCTGTGTGTCTAGGTCTCTGCAATATATTATACTAAACATTTGGCAACACTGGCACAGCTAGGTAATATGTCAGTATGTCTTGTACAGTTCTTCAGTGACAGCTGATACGTGCAAATATCATGTAGAATATAAAAAATATAATAAACAGTAATCCAAAAAAAGAAATTCATGGTGACTGCAGTGTGTGGGACAAAACCTGACTTCATAGTCAGACTGAGTTCAGTTGGATTAGAGAGAGTCAGGTCCACTTCTGGTCCGGTCCAGTTTGTAGCAAGGCTGTTTTTCAGGACCTCAAAAGCCTCAGGAGCTGATGGCAGAGGTCTCCATTAGGAACCGTGGACCATGTCCTTCTCAAAAGGCAGCAAAAATGCAACACACACACACACCCACACACACTCTGTCATACTGCATGTACACATGGTATGTTGTCTGTATCTACTTCCTCTTTCATTCATGCACCTTCATAATGTGCGATTTTCAACATGATAAAAAGAAAATCTAAAAGCAAAACAAAATGATGGGTACTTGTAAGTTCACAGCTGCAGCATGTGGAGTGGACGGTACTGACAGGCCCGGACAAACTGGAGCTCCAAAGGGGGAGAGGTGTTTGATAATGAGAGAAGACCGCCACCAAAACCAGTACTACACAGACAAAAACCACTTCTACCTGCATCACTTCACAAAAAAAAAAAAAAAATAAAAAAAAAGGAAAAGGTTGCACCCCTTTCTCCATCATCCAACCTCTGCTGGAAACCATTGCTTTCTTCTCGTCTTCCCTCTCCACCCTTTTTTTCCCCCCAAGCTCCTCTACAAGTTGACCAGCTCATGCGCAACAAACTGTTTGAGTCTCTCCAGGTATTGTCCGTAGAGCTCCACGTCATTGTGTCCGGCCCCCTCCACCCAGAGGGGCTCCACGGGGCGCTGACAGCGTTCATACAGCGCCAGGCCATGGGAGAAGTCGATGACCTCGTCCTCCGTACCGTGGATCACCAGTACCGGTGACGTTACCTTCGAAATCTTGTCGATGCTTTCGAGAAAGAAGATAAGAAAACAGATATTTAGGAGGGTTTGCAGAACACAGATATAAAGACAAACAGAAAAAGTGAGTTGTGGGTTGAGTTACTATAAAGAAAATTCACAATAAATGCTGAAAATTCACAGAGTAGAGCTAGTTTTCCAACTTACCACCAGAGGGAGCTATTGAGAATATTTTTAAGCCCTTTGAATCACAAAGAAGTGAAACAGTCCTGAATAGATTTGACACATCTAAATGTGTAAGTCCATATTTGCAAGCTTGTGTGTGTCTTCATGATTCCTCATTCATACAAAGCTGTTCTGAAATCCACGTGTACTCTGTTATTTGACTATCTGTGCAGGGAGGCTGGGGGCCTTTCTGTAGGTGTTCATGATGCATTTAGCCAGGCTGTCACACATTGCACTCACTTTGGGAAGGCGTCAAAGCAGTAGGTCTTCTTGGTGTCGGGGAAGGCCACTCTCATGCCAGACGTGAGCGGGGAGTGGAGGATGACTGCAGCACTCTCATAGCGAGAGGCCAGGTCCACAGAGGGCACGGTGCCAATGCTCTGGCCGTACACGATCACGTTCTCTGGCCGGATGCCATACCTGTGAGACAGACACAGAATATCTGAATATCACCCTTTCGTTGATCACGATGAGGACATTTAAAATGCAAGCGGTGAGGCATAGTCGGGTAAATTTTGTGTGCTCTACCAGACACTGGCAGGAGTCCAGTTGGGCCTTTTGTTAATTATGAAAAGCAGCTTGGCTGGCAAAAACAGTGGATTCCAAAATACAACATTTGCTTTTCCTGGTTAAAGTTGATTTTCTTTAAGTGCTTTTCATAGTAAAGGGGACACTTTGTGTAATCACAATTTTCTAGGTATGGGTCTGCTTTTTACCAATCACATAATAAGTACACTAACACATCCAATTAGTCTCCCATCGTCCTCTCATTTCCCCCACATGCTGCTCCATAAGCAAACACACACCTGTGTGAGACTCACTCATGCTCTATTATTGGCTGAAACGTCATGGCACAGTGACTCAGTGATTATACGGTCTCCTAAAACAAGCACACAAAGATGGGAAGCGGCCAAGGTTCGGTGGCTTTCTGCTGCTTTTCAAAGCAGCTGAACAGAGAGGACCACCACTGTAGTCTCGTGATTCAGAGGGGAGGAGGGGGAATAAGAGCAAAACAAGCAGAAAGAGAGCAAAAACAGACACTGGTACTGGATTGAGGCCGAGGGACAAACTGGGAGAGGGAGGAGAAAAGGAAAAAAAAAAAAAACGGAAGAGAAGACATTCCACAGCTGATTATGAAGAACGTGACCCACTCTAGCAAGCAGGCAGTCAGCTGACAACCTGAAACCTCGTCTGAGAACACTGCATCACTGTCTCCACTGCTGCACTGCTGGATAGTGCATAGTAAACAGCCACAATCAGCCTGACAAAATCTCTGATCTACTCTATTAAGAAAATTAGGAGTACTAACATTACAGGCTTAACAATACAGCCTCTACCACTGCACTCCTGTAAGACACAGTGATGAAAACTATATGAACACCAAAGTCTGACACCACTCACAATGCTAGTGTGTACACACGGTCTAGTTTGCAGACAGACAGTCATTAGCAGGAACATAGGAACTGTTTATCGTCAGTGTGTTAGCTGGCCTTCATCGAGTATAAATAGGGGTGAAAATACTGGCAAGGCATAGCGCAGGCTGTTGGGTGCTGTGGTGTTAACAGCACCATTAACTCTCAAGGTTGGCTGACCATGATATACACGATTCATGAACTGAAAGCTTATTTCAATTATGGAACATAATGTGGCGGTTTTAGGGAGATAGTGAGGACGAGGGCCAAAATCTCAAGTCTTTGTATAAACTGTATAAAAGAATGACACTGACCTTTCTAAGTGTCCGATTACAGACTAGCGGCTTCTAAAAAATCTGCCACAAACAGCTTTGTTTTACCATTTTCAAGTAAAGGCCATCTTCACACTCAGTTCAATCCTAATGATCTGTCATCAAAATAAAGCATAAATTACTGTTAATGAGAATCCACTTTGGTCCAGTCCGATTTGTGGAAATGCCATTTCTCAGAGCCTTAAATGCCTTGGGGGGTTTTGACATTTAAGACAAAAAGTGTCATCGCTAAAAAAAATAATTTACTAAATGTTTGCGGGAGGCCCAACCATGACCTACACTCCTGATGAAGAGCATGGAAGGTAGAGTCCTGCTTTTTGTCTGGTTCAGTTTTAATTTAATGAAACAATAACAGAGAGAAAGAAGTTGAGCGATCGGAGAGATCACTGCCATTCTGTTGATTTTGGAATAGATCTTCAATATTAACTCCTCCCAGGAGACATGAAACTAGATTGCTCAAATGGGGGGGGGGTTGTTTGGTTGCTTACGTCTCTTACTCATAACTGTTCACTGTTGAATGATTGGGTTTAATTAGACCTCATATCTCCAGCGTATTGCTGAACATTGAACAGCAATGCCTGTAGGTCTGTCATATTGTCGCAACAGTCTGTTATTTGTTTACTGTTATGAACGTTTTTATTCAGCGTAGTATCCCTTAAGTACACGTTTATCCGTCATTATCTTTGACTTATCTCCTTTTCGTTATGCTGATCTAGTTAATGTTCTTTTGCCATATCAGGCCACTGAAGCCTGGCCAATCCCAAGACTCATAAGAACTCACCACAATATAAAGCTTATGCAATGTCAATACACAGAGGGTAAATTGAAACCATCTGACAGCTTAGTCATCAGGTGAGAGGATATAGGACCAAAAAGCAGCAAGGCTTTCCCCCTAACTTGGCATGCTTGGCTTACAGCTTTACACCAACATTGTACAAGTAGGAGTGTTTTGCACTCACACAAATAAATACAATGAATAATGCAAGGCTTGAACCAGTGACCTTCCACGTACAACAAGGTCACTCCAACCACTAACCCACCCTGCTATCTTGGCACCGTTTGATGGACTGCTGTGGCTTTTGCTCACACATTCAGGAAAGGTCGTGCAGATCTGCAGCTGTGCTCGTGTTAAAACGCCACAACGATCCGGCCTTTGACTATCCCGGATCCAGGCCAACGCTAGCCTACAATTTACTCTATTGCATTTCAGCTTGAATAGACCTCCCCAAGCCATAGCCAGCCCATGCTCCATGGTTACACCCCTCCCCCAGACCTTCATCAATTTAGTCTCCTGACACAAATCCAATCTATTATGCATCACATCCTCCCTCGTTCCCCTGTTCTGTCTCTCGCTCCCTCTTGGCTGCCCACCTCTTTTACCCTCAAGACCAAAAATATTCTCATCCCATAGCAGTCACTATGACTAATAGATATTTTAGGACATCCTGAACATATGTACAGGCATTTTTAACAGATTAGCGTACCATCTGCACTACAGCAGGGGGAGTCTTTAGTGAAGCGCTCCTATGATCTGTTATTATGCTTAGCATCTTTTTACTCATTTACTTCCATTGTATACTTGTCTTGAAAATAAATATGCATATGTTGAGATCAATGCCCACATATTAAAAAATAAAAAAAAAGTCTTTAAAGTGAATTAAACATGAAGATGCAAGGATAATAAGTATATAATCAGTAAGTATCATCACTGAGCTGTTCCTGTTGGCAATAAGGAGAGTCACATGAGCACGTGAGTACTTCACCCAATTGACGTAACAGACACATCAGCCTTTCTCTAAAGCCTCAACTGATATTTCAAGTAAGCAAAACAATTCATAGACATGTTGGGCTGGCCCCTCCGTGTCAATGTTTGCGAGAATGTCTCCCCACTATCGAACGCTTGAGAAGAAGGACGGTGTTTTGATTTGGATCAATAAAGATGATTGACCAGGGAAGTGAGTTTTTCCCGTTTGTTTTCATATGCCATACTGTGGGAAGACCTCGGCCTGAAAGCTCATTGGAAATCGGTTGCTAGGCTACCACTCAATATTAGACTAGCGGGATTGACTGCTGGCCCGCCTCCATCTCAGAGGGAAAAGAAAATGATACAGTGCCCGCCCACACCCACACCCACACACACACACACACAGTGCTCTGATCTGTCACTCTTTACTCAATAAGCCCCACACTTTTTTTCCCTCCCTCATGCGGAGCAACAAATAGTACACCTGATACATTCTTCTATCAGTAGTCATTCTTAGTATGATAATGGAGGCAGTGTAAGTGTGTAAACCTTCTGACTCATGCAATTACTGAATCATCTGGCCCACATCCTGCTCAGGTGAAAGGGAGTGCCTCATGTGCACCGTGGCTGAACAAAAGAACACAGGTTCGGTGGCTAGACTGTTTGCAGCGTGACAGGTGGCTACCCTCCTTCATATGACTGTGGAGCGAAGTGAACGCAGCCTACACAAGCGTGTCAACACTGGAGAGAAGCTGAATTTGCTGACTGCTGAATCATAAGCAGAAAAAGATTGGATGACACAGAAACCAGAACAGTTGCAGAAAAGTATGGGATCTGGTGCGTTCAAAATGTCAAATAATCAGAAAAAAAAAAAAAAAAAAAAGACACTGACACAGTTACAGCAAGCACAGAAAGTGAAAGAGATTCACTCGCTTCTTCAGTCTGATCTAACTAGAGAGACATGCACGAGGGATGTATGCAGCCGACTGATGTGAGGCCATGCAGAGAGGCCTTTTGATGTGATAAACACAATCTAGTTGATTCATGTTCAGCGGGGTCAGAAGGCTGGGTTGTACCCTCTTTCTATCGCATAGACAGTCAATTATGAATCTGGCACAACCCTCAAACCATCAGACACACACAGCTGAGTCAAAAAGGCAGATAATATCAAACTAGGGACCGCACTGACACTAAGCTTTTAATATTCTACAATAAAAGGTTAGGCACGTACAAAAGCAGAAAGATATGCCAGACAAAAAAAAAAATGTGCATAAGACTTCCATCGTATTTTCTGTTAATAAATCCCTTTTAAGTTGTGCCCAGGAATGAGAATTGAAGCTCCACATTTTAATGCTGGTGATTAGCTAGCAACTAGGCCTACATAGTTGTGAAGAATCCTTAAAAACTTGAAAAAAAAAAAAAGTGCCTGTTGAGTTGATAAAAAGCCAGGGGTTTGGAGGCCATAGCGGAGTATCACCAACCGAGAAAGTTTGATGCGTGGCAGCATAAGTAGCGAGTGTTGACAATCCTGACAGCGGGACCATTAACATAATATATACTGTAACTGGAGAGCAGCAGAGGTCTCACAGACAGAAAGAGTGACACTGACATGGCAATAAAGGAAGAGGAGATTGTTGCCAGTGAATGAGGTAACCCAACCACAAGGTGTACTCGACGCTTGTCATTTGGTTAAGCCAAAAAAATATGCAAAATGGACTTATAAATAACCAACGATCTCTTTTGAATTGTCGATTTTTTTAGTTTTTAAATAGAGAAAAGAATAGCGTCCTGAGCAGGATGTGCCCCAGCTCCAGAGTGCCCAGTGTGTCTATTTGTTAGTGTTAATAAAGTGAATGGATTGGTTTAAAAAGGTGTATTCGAACATCACGCCTTACTCTTATATTTGCATTTGAAGTGTCATCTGTATTTTTCCAGCACATACAAATGAGGAGCTCTCCATATGGCTCTATTCAGACAGACATGTTTTGTTTTAAGCCGTCTCACTGCGGCATCAGTAGAATGGGGATCCAATAGAAATGTCATGACAAGTTAGAACAACAAGTTTTGCCCATCTTCCTGTAAGTCTCATCTGATCTTCACAAGGTTTTTCCCTGATTAACTTATAGTTATGATACGGTGTCTGAGACTGATGTACCTGCTCTACCCTTTTTAAATAAACTGCTGATTAACATTATGGCATAGATTAGCTGATTATTAGCTGTCAATTAAATGAATATGCAACTATTTTGATAATCGATAAATTGTTTTGAGCCATATTTTTAAACAAAATAGGCCAAATTCTCTAAATTCTGCTCCACAAATGTGAATATTTTCTTGCTTTCATTAGTCCTCTAGGTCAGTAAACAAAACAAGACATTTGAGGGTGTTACCTTGGGCTTTGGGAAACAGTGATCAACATTTTCTCCCCATTTTCTGAACCAAACAACTAATCAGTTAATCAATAAAATTATTTTGTGTTGTGTTTGTCTTGCCAATATGAATGAGCCTCCCTTCTGATTGGCTGTTTTCTGAGCACAACGCACAACCAGGCCAACCACATATAATGGATTGCAGTCTACCCGGACGGTGCGTTTCTCTGTGGATTAAGAGCTTTCAAATACTTTCACAGTATTTATATAACACCTGCTTTCACTTTCTATATTATGCTACCTTTAAAGGGGAACTTGGCAACTATTTCAACTTAATAAACCCGTTTAGAAATCATTTGGATGGTTAAACGGCCTGTTCCAGTGAAAATGGTGACTTCCCCGCAATTCCACATAAACGCACACACCCCCCTCAATACCGGTTAGCCACGCCGGCTATAAGAACAAGCGACGATGAATGTATTACCCACCTTGGTAGACATTGCTCCACACGAAAAAGTTGCCTGGCAACAAATGCACATCAGCAGCGGTAGAAAGGGGGAGGAGGGTGCCGCAAGTGTAGTTTTTCTTACGACAGCGTTTTGAAATATACGTCCCAGAGCTGTAGGGGGAGCTCTTTGAGAAAACATGCGACGACCAAAATGAAAACCAGCGAAGAAATGGCTTGAGTTGTCAAGTTCCCCTTTAATGGAGGAATGTTTTTTAGCATTGCACATCATTACAGTTACAGTATGAATTACTCCACTCATGGGAACTAGATGTGTTGTACTGCAATAAAACAAAAAAAACTTCAACCTCATGCATCTCTACAAACGGTGAAGACAGAGCCAGGGGCCACGCTGTGTGCAGTTATAAGTTACACCATGCAAATGGATTTCTTTATCTAAAACTATATAACTGAGCTTACATTAAAAAAAAAGAGCAGCCAGGTTTTGCATTCACGTCAAGAAGGCGTCTGTTCTGCCTCGATTAATTAAATTTCAAGGCTAATTTTGAGCCCGTTTGGGAGCAGGAGATTTCTTACTGTGTCAAAAAATAAGAAAGTACGCTGGAAAATAATAAGGAGCCGAACACAGCAGCAGTAAGCACAGTTTCTCTTTCAAGAAAGAGAATGGGTTTCTTATTCTTCTTTTCGATCACATTCGAAAGCTTTGGTAACACTGTGTGTGGAAAATTGAAAACGCAAGTGAGAGAAAGGTTTCAACATTAAGGAGACATTGAATGCGTTTGATTGCATACACAAACAGTGTGTGGTCACCAGAAAAGCAGGTTCTTCTTCGCAGCAGTGGCCCATTTCCTGTATGTAGAACCTTTATGATCAAGAGTTTCCTGTTTAACTTGCCAGCTTCCTTATTCAAAGGCCCTTATTTACAGAAGGCCACTCCGTATGTTCTGTTTAATGGTAGATGGTGTAAAATGTAAAACAAGTGCTGAGAGAGAGTCACAGCAAAAGTCAGCAGCTAAGAAACAGTAACATTATGTTGTAAGTGGCCTTACCAATGGTTTCCATCAGCACTTTTAAATCTCTGCAGTGCCAACACCCTCATTTACCTCAAAAAGAACACACACCCACATTACCATCGCAGCACACAGGAGGAGCTCTCAACACTAGAAGCCTAGTTTTTCTCTTTGCGGTTGATTTACACTGCTTTGGCTCTTCTCTTCCAGCCTTTTTTAGTTTTTTCTGAGCCAATGTTCCCCATCTCCTCTCTTAGTCATCTGTTTGTCTTCCAGCAGGAAGTATACAAAAACAAAAAGGCCTACTGGATGAACTTTTATTTCCCCCTCATCCACATAAACAAAAATGCAAAAATGGACACATTATTTTCAGTCACACACAAACATTGTACACTCCTCCTCCACATCCTGTTCTCTATAAGAACGGGTTTGTGACTGTGTTCTTGTTTAATCAGAGAAAACGTGTCTCTATGGTATGAATGTTTATCGCAAAGGGCGGCAATTAACAGTTATTTTCCTTATTGATTAATGTGTCAGCTATTTCCTTTAGGCCTTCATTGTGAAAAATGCCCATCACAGTTACCCAAACCCCAAGCTGTAATCTTTATATTGCTTACTTTGTCTGATCAACGGTCCAAAACCCAAAAACGTTTAGTTTAATTTATCATTGTTTTTAAGTTGAAACGAGCAAATGTTGGCCATTTTTTCTTGACCCCGAAACAAATAATTGATAATCAAAATAGCTGCCAATTAAATTTTTGTTAATAGACAATTCTATTACTCAACTAATTGCTTTAACTCTACACACGCGTATGCATTTAATGTTTTTTGGACCTCGATACAGAGGCAACAAACTGAGCAGGGGCCTCCAAACCAGACACAGACTACAATGTCTATACAAGAAGACAAAAGGAGGAGATGACGCGAGGGTTAAACAAAGATGGAAGGAAATGGGGGACACTGGGTTAAAAAGACAGACTGATGACCACTGCGGCTCAGGTAGAACGGCAGCGTCTGTGGGAAGTGACTGAAGTTGAGAGAAGAGTCTGTGCCTGACATAACTAGTGGTTGACCATGTGGGGTTTCAGATAGATAATTATTTATATTTTAAACGCTCTACAAAGCGTTTTTAAACTGGTTGTGAAACGGTCTCAATTTAAGACCGATGCCTCTATATGACCTACATAAACGTCATTTATATATAGTTATTCTAAATGCTACCACCACCTGCAACCAGGTTGAATTTGGTCGGATTCCCCTCGAGGAGGTGGAAACATTAACGCGATCATAAGACAATAAAAACTTCTTGTAGCTGCTTTAAGTAAGCAATATTTGTCTGCATACAGTCTCTGTTTGTCCTACCTGCTTTATGAAAAAGGGAAAAAAAAGGTTCATTATCACTATAAAGCTATGATATGGTTTCATGCAGACCTCATCAACAAGAAGCCCTGAAGCAGAATGAGTATGTTTCATCAGATGGAAAAGCACAGATACGGACTGCAAATCGGCAAAGGTCGAATATCGGCCAATAAATATCAGTCTATTCATAGCCTGCAGAGCAAAAAGATGCAGCAGAGCACCCACTCACACCTACATATGGCTGGGCAGCATAATCATAGAAAACACGGTCCTTATTATCGCCTACAAGAACATCATGTCATCCCTACTAAACCATTCCTCATCAACTCCACCCATGATTTTATCAGGCCCAATCTAATCATCCCTCCACCAAGCACCTTCTGTAACCTCCTCACATCTTCAACTGACACAGCTCTGTTTGTTATCTCTTTATGTCACAAAGTTTTAAAAGCATTCATGGGGCTTAACTCACCCTCACTCCTAACATTTGTCAAGACTCCTCTGCACTGCCATTTAGGGTCTGTGTGCTATTCCATTACTCTAATACTGATGCTCTTATCGCTGCATCCATCATCATCATCATCATCATCATCATCATCATCATCATCATATCTCCTTACCGTGACCGCAGTGCCTGCCAGGCAGCGTCTACATCAGCGTACAAGTTCTTCTCCGAGGGTTTCCCAGAACTGGCTCCGTAACCCGAGTAGTCGTAGGAGAAGACGTTGCAGTTGATGCGCGAACCCAGGCCAATGTAGAAGCTGCTCATCTGACCCAAGTCCACTGCGTTTCCATGGGAGAATAATAGTGTGTATCGGGCGCTGGGTGAGCAGCGGACAAACATGCAGGCAATGCGGTTTCCTCTTGTGGTGCGTGTCATGAAACACTCGATGGCGTCCTTCTCGCGGGACGAGTACTGCCAGTCGGCACGCTCAGAGAGGTGCAGAGTCCATCGGCTGCCACTGTCATCGGACATGAGGCTGTATGTGGGCTCTGGGGGCAGGAAGGCCAGCTTAGAGGCGATCTTGCTGGGGCACGGTGGACAGCAGAACAGGCAACATAGCTCGCTGAGGGATAAGTGGTTCATCCTCAAAACTCTGTGACAGAGAGAGTGACGATGGTTAAAAATAGAAACAAATACATTTCATCAGTAGAAGAAAGAATGAGAGAAAGAACAGATATAACCTTAGAGAGCAGCTGGGCTCTGTCAAAGAACTGAAACGCTAATTTGCCACTGCATCCCCTGCAGATTGATCACAAGGAAAACACCACAAGAGCAAATTCGTGACACAGAAACTACTGAATGATGCTTTCTCCAAGAATATAAACACTTATCTTTGTTAAGTGGAAAAGCATGGGGTTTCTGTGACCAGGGGCTGAAGCAAGGCTGCTGTCTTTTTTTTTTTATTTATTTATTTATTTTTTTTTTACACACACACACACACACACACACACACACACACACACACACACACACACACACACGCGCTTCTCTTCTACAGAATGCATGAATCTCTTTAGCCAGCATCATAAAAAAAAAAAAAAAGCCCTGACTGTGATTGGCTCCACAACCACTCAGACAGTATTGACTTAAAAGGCTTTCTTGTTTCACCCTGCACCTGGACCCTCACCCAAGGCTACCTTTTAGATATCCAGGTGCTTTTGAGAGATGGGGGGGGCTTTTTTGTAATTTGACTCTGCATAACTACACATGCCCTTCTGAATAGGCTGAAGCAGATCACTGTGTGTGGATTGTATTTCCAGATTTGAAGATGCTACAAGTAAGAAATTACACTGTGTCATTACATCTACGCGATTGCAAATCCTTCAGTGTATGCAAACATGCAATGCAATCACAATTCTTTTTTTTATTTTTTTTGCCACAATGGTAGGTTGGCATGTTGGTAACTCCTTTTATTGTAGCCTTCTACAAGGTTTGCAGGTGATGTTGCAGAATATGCTGCAAATGTTGCCCGTCTCATCCACACAAGAAGCTACAGATTTGCCATAGGCTTCTTGGTGGCCTTCTTTGCCAGTACTCTTCTTGCACGCTCAGTTTTCTAAGCTGCCTTTAGCAGATTTACAGCTTTTATTTTACAGTTGTCCATATTTTAGTCCGAGGAACCATCTTGGAGTCTTCCCCTGATTGGCATTTTTCCAACAACCTTGTAATGGATTTGTTGGGAAAAGAAAAGTGGCTATGCTGCTGTTGGAGCTTCCACATCCATGTGTACTGAAGCTCAGAATCACTTCTTGGTTACACACATGTGACTTCAGCTCAGCTTAATTACCTGTATGCCAGAGATTGTTTAGAGTGAATACTTTTTTTATAAGCACTTGTAATCTATGAATACTTCTGCTGCTGCAAGATGCTGTGACATCCAAACGGAGCAGGCAGCAGCAAAGTACACAGTGGAGGATATTTGCTTCCCATACTATATACTAATAGTCCATAATCTCCAGCTAAAGGAGCCAGAATGGAGCCCCACAGCGATTTACTGTAAAATGGTGGTGGAGGCAGCAATGTGTTCAGTGAGATTACAACGACTCTGGGCTGGTTTGTGGAGGCTTATATCCAGTTGCTAGACACACACACACACACACACACACACACACACACACACACACACACACACACACACACACACACTTTATTGTCAAGTGTGATGGGCCAATTAGCCAGCAACACTAAGCATGCAAATGTGCGTGTGTTTCCCTCGTTAACACAGAGCTGGTGAAATGATCACAACATTACCTGGACGGCGGGTGGACGCTTGTTTTGTTTTTCTTTCTATTTTGAGAGGTTGACAGTATTGACCAACGTCGCCGTAGTCAGGTGTTATCTCCGAACTAATGTATCTTCTTCTTCTCGACGCCAGGAGATTGACAAGGTTATCCTCGGCCAGATTAGCCTCTGTTCCGTGTCCTATGTGTCAGCGATGTCACCGTTGAGTGTGAATATCCCTCTTGGCACCACAGCTCCGAGTTACTAGCCACTTCGTCCTCCCGGTCCAGACACCCTCCGAACAAACTGCCGTTTCTTCCTCCGCTCGGTGTTCTCAACATATGGTCCTGAATGATAACGAGATCGATTCATTCAAAACGTTCAAGTCTATACAGCTCAGCAGCGACATGGGTGACTTCAATAAAGGTCTGAAATGAACTAAATTCGTGTCACGCGTCTGCGGTGATTCGTTCGCGGGAGTATCACTTGCCTCCGAAACATCACCGCTTTCGTTGTGAATTTCACTCCGCTTGTTATCTCCTCGGGAAGGATAGGTCGTGATTGACAGCTGTGCGGACCAATAGCAAAGAGGTTGAGGAAGACCTGCCCACCAATGACACAGCGTGTGGCTATTTGTGGGCGGTCCCTGTCGACGCCGCAGCGTGATGAGCGAATGTTTTGATTGACGTCGTGGAGAGCCAACCAGAGATTACTATTGCGCGTCACCGACCAATCAGCACCGACAGAGGGGTTTCTAACGGTCAGTCAGGTGACGTCATTGGCATTAAACTATTTTATCAAGCGTATTTATCGTTTTTTTTAAAAAATCGTGCTTGTTTGGAAATTTGTTTTATTCTAACAAACAGCTTTCTGTCTTCATTTATTTTAAACACTTTAAAAAATAAAATAAAATTAAAAAATCGGGTGTTCTAGGTTTGACCTCAATGACGTTTCATGACGTGCTCGTACTTCTTCCGGGTTGGGGCTCTCTCTAGCGTGGTGTTTGGATTTGTGTGCCCTCACAACATGTGTCAGTGAAAACAACTGGAAAAGAAGATGAGTTCTCAGAAAGGTAATGTGTCTCGGTCGAGAGCCCAGAAGCATCAGAACAGCGCTGCCTTCAAAAACGACAAGTACGGAGCGACTGTACAAGTGAAGGTGTGTGAACCTCGGAGTGGTCTGTCATGTGTAGCTAGCCTGCATGGCCACTGAGCTCAAATAAATACACTTTAAACGTTTGCATTCACATTGTTATAGAGTTCACAATAGGCTCTTGTGTAGAGACAAGATTATTTTTTTGTCTGCCAGTAGCTGAAGCGATATTTTTGTTGCATTGTTTAGAAATTGTGTATAAAAATAAAATATTTTGATTGTTTGTTTAAGAAATCTTCTGTCATTGTTGTCAGTAATGATGCATTTCCTATAAATCCTGTCTTTTTCTCTGCTGTTTTGTCAAAGCTATGTTCTAACGTTATTATTTTAACATTTCCACCATGTGTTTGCTTAATTGTAGAAAGCAAAATCAAAGACCCATGATGGGCTCTGTCAACACTGTAAGGGTGTTCTTGAGTGGAAAGTGAAGTACAACAAATACAAGTCACTAACACAACCCCGAAAATGGTGAGTACAACATTCAGCACTGCTACAACTGCTCATGACCGCTCACAGCTCATCTGATCTGTCAACAGTAAAAAAAAAAGCAAGTAATTGTTGCACAAACAAGATAATCAACATGGATTATGATTATACTTATCAGTTAGATAATCTGTGTATTCATTTATCAACCGAAACACTCTAAGAATTGCTTAATTTCCCCATTATACCATTATAAAATCATTATGGAGGGATTTTTGGCTTCTGGTCAGGCTACATCAGAAATGTTAAGGTCCTCCCTCCACTCGAAACTGTTTTTCTTCTTGTTCTACCGTGTGATGTTTGAGCTTCACAGTGCAGAATGATGTATGTGCAGAGGTGGCAAGTACAATGCAAGGGACACTGGGAAATTTTGTTTTGGTGTTGCCGTCCTGCATATGTCCAGCTATGTCCTGCATGCATGAGTCAGACTCACACAGTCTTGTATGTGTTGTAAAGTGTTGTGTTTTGGATGTGTCATTCATGTTTTTTAAGAGGGAACAGAAGACGAGAGGACTGCCTGTTAAAGTTGGTTCCAGTGTGAAAACCGATGACATTTGTGTATGTTTGTTTTCTTCTTTCAGCGTCAAGTGCTCTCAGAAGACTGTGAAGGATGCGTATCACATCATTTGTAAGCCATGTTCCCTTCAGCTAGAGATCTGCTGCAAGTGTGGGAAGAAAGAAGATATCGTTATTCCGTGAGTGATCCTTTATTATAAGAGTGTTTGTGTGTGCAGACTCATGCAATACTGTAGAGAAAACCTATCCCTATTTAATGTAGCCAATTTTAGGTTTTTCTTGCCCACATTACCATCAGTGACTCATAAAGAAGCCACTAATATCATGTGTGCTCTCATCGTACATGAATTAAATGACTGTAAGAAATGTGGTGTGATGTTTTTCTGTACTTGGAAGCAGGATAAAATCTTTTTATGAAGTCAATCTTTGTATGTTTCATCACTGTTAAGCACATACAGCAAATTCTGCTGCAAGTCTTCCATCTTGTGGACAATGAGACACATTACAACTGATTCTTAGAAATCACTGAACTCATTCTGTGAAAGACATTACATGAAGATGCTGTCAGAACAGTTTTCATTAGAAATGTTGCCATCCATTTATTCCCATACACATTTCACATATTTGTTTGTTTACATTATGACATTAAAAAAAGTCAATAAACATGATAGCAGAGCCTCATTTTGTTTTTCTCTCACTGTGTAGAATAAACTCAGAGGCGGACGATAAAGAGCAAGAGGAAGATGGTGAACAGAAAAAGAAAGAACGTGGACCAGGGAAGAAGGACGTGGATGGCTTGGACAGTGATGATGATTATGATGATGATGACTTAAGTGACCTCAGAGATAGTGATGATGATACGGGAGAGGACTCAGAACAAAAGAAGACACAGGACAAGTCCGATGTCCTCCCAGATGTTTCCCGAGTCAGCTTTAAAGACTAAAGACAGTTAGAGGGTTCTTGTAGGCTTTTTTTAACTTCACATATATTCAAAACAAGTTTTCCAATCAAAGTACAGTATGAAGAAGCTGAGAAGACAAGTGCTACCTGATGATTCAGGAATATTTTTGATGACATTTCATTTTTTTTTTATTTAAAGGGCCTTATATACCGTGAATGGGCTGTACAATGTACTGGAAACCCTGTATCTCCGTATTTTGTTTCGTTTCATGACTCTGTTTGACCTGAATGGAATGGGACCTTAATTACTATCATTAATAATACCTGTGTTTACCCTACTAATTCATGTCAAAATGGTTGCTGTGAAAAAGGTTGGTTTATTTCACAATAACCTAATAGTGGCCTTGAAGTATCAGCAGCACTAAAAGCAGAAGTAGAGGCGTTGCCAGGGTATCAGGAACTGACTGAAATATTAACTGTCGCACACACACTCATATTTTGTATTTACACACAGTTTATTAGCTATGCCCAGCTGCAGTCTAATAGCACAGTCCTGCAATAAATCCTACATTCACAGAGGTTGTGATCATTTTTTGTTGTTGAGGTGTTTATTTAACTTTATGATACTTTTGGAGGCTGAAGCTTAGGATTCTGTTGAATTGTGTTATAAAGAGAAGTGTTTCTAATATTTTGGCCTCTGCTTTTATCTAAAGAGCGAGCTGGTCCTCTTCTTCAGAAGCTGCCGCGTTAAACTGCCATGTTTCTACAGTAGCACAGGTTTTCGATAGGACACTGTAGCTTCTCATTTCTTGGAAAGCTGAGCCGTATTGAAATTATTCACTCTGTTTTGGCCTCTTCTAGCACGTAGACTTTTATCTTCCCCTCTAGAGTAAAAAGTATTTAAATACTATAAAAATATATAATTGCTTTCCTTTAAAATGACTCATATGATTTATAAATGTGCAGTCTGCACATTTTAAAACAGGGTTTGCCCATCACCGTTCCTTTTCATTTAAACTTTAAATAAAGTTGTAGCAAGACTCGCTACTAATGAGGGTTCTCCCAGCACATAGACCAACCACAGGGATTGTTGAACAAGACGACTTTATTCTTTTGACTGCTGCACACACAACTGCGCCTGCTTCCTGAGGTCCATACAGGTCTACTCCAGTTGTGTCGAGCCTCGAGGTCCAGCACACTACTGCCTTAAAAGAGGTGAGAGTGATTAGTTCATGGGTATCAGCTGAGACAATCAACTCACCTGGCACTGCTCTCACAAGCCTTCCCCACAGCTCTCTCTTCTGCAGCTGAGTGCAAACCACACCCACCTCCACAAAAGTATAGATCACATTTAAATGCACACACTTTGTTAGGATGCAATTTTTTCCACACAATATACTCAACATACTATTGTATACTACATAGGGACAGTTCTGATGGTGGTGCTGTTGACATCCAAAACTTTAAAAGATCAATAAAAACTGCTACAATTTTTCAACTTTTACCAGAATCTGTCAAAAATAATTAAAACTTTCCAAGAAAGGCTGCAACAAGTTGTTTTTTTTTTTTCTGTAGGGCGCTTAAGCAGTAAAGTTCTCGTTTTTTATTATTTTTAGCTGCCTTTCACATTTCCCGTCGTCGAATAACCTGCAGTTACACTGAAAAGTTAATGTCACCAAGAGAGTGTGTGTGTTGTCATTCATCATGTGGGGCTGATAAATTTAAAAGAATGTGGCAATATTTCTTACGTTACTTCCTCGTTAGGAAGTATGGGACATCATGACATGGATGGAATCACTGAGGTTGTAGGATTCCCATTTATTTAGTGCTTAATATATTTCTCACATGGCTTTGTTCTGCTTATACACTCATGACTTAAAGTTCTGACCTGATGTTGCCTGGAGTCTGTTGTAACTATAGATACTGAACTATCTGAGTAACTACTCTTAAACCTTCAGTCTGGACTAACACAGTAATAACAAGACCCAGCACTGTTAATGTTGGCCATATTAAGTGACATGGTGTTATATATCACTCAGTTGCAGGTTAATAGCTAACGCAGTCTAATACAACAGCCTTGTAATAAATCCGTGAGGGTTGTGGTGTTCAGTTTTTTTGGTGCTGCCGAGTTGCAATGCAGGTGTTTCTAATATTTTATCTATACTCATTGTTGTACTCCACACATTGCAGATCTGCACATTTTGCCATATGTTACTGTATATTGTTCACCACCCTGTCTGGGCGGTGTTGTCTGCCATAATGGGCATCATCTGTCATTCATCTTCATTATACTTTTCACTGTGGGATGCGTGAGCTAGGCATTGAGTACTTGGTTGAACATACATATATGCGTTTTGGAAAAATATGCCTTAAACTTGAATCAGAAAGTGGTCAAAGACAATATAAAAAGAGAAATTAAGGGGAGAAAAGGGGTTTCTCATTCACCATTGTGATTCACAGAGAAACCGCTCTCTGTTTCCTGGTAAATCACCATATTAAAGAAAGGAAGAAAGATAAATGTCAGTTGTGGCTGTGGGGGTATTAAAGCTACAATATCCCCTTTTTATTACCCTCATCATACTGTAAATTGGCCTGTTGTTACCACACTATTACTACACTACCATGTTTTTCTCCACTATTACCCAATTATAAAAAATTCAACTTAACATTACCAAAACATTTGAACTGTTATTACCAATATATTAACTAGAGTTTATCTCTTTATTTCCATAATAACTTTGTTCATAATTAAGTTGAAATATAAAATGCTGTGAAAACATGTTTAATATGAGGCAATGTCTCAAACACTGTGGCAAATTATAGGCTACCAAACAAGGGTAATGTATACTGACAAAGAGGAACAAGAAGTTACCCAACAGCGGTATGCACATGTATATTTGCTGACTGGCGCATGACAGATGGGCCAAATTTATAGAATTGTTATAGAATTCAAGTTCAATGTCAGGAGGAAATGTTCATATTTTTTTTTTGTAGCCGCTTGTATTTTTGGACTTAGACCTGCTGCTGTCACTCTTAAGACAGATGGTACAGAAGGTCCTCTTTCAAGGGATCCATATATAGCTTCTGCAGCTTCCAGGTACCAGGTGGGCTGGTTGTGATTGATGATTATATGATAGATAGATAGATAGATAGATAGATAGATAGATATCCAAACTTAGATCTATTCATGATCTCTGTACCAGTGATATATTTTATTGTATACTGAGGTAATGTCTTCCAAGATGAAAACAACCAATGTTTATGACGAGGAGAGAAGAAAACAAAAAGCTTGCATAAGTCACAGATGACCTAATTATTGAGAGATTCTGCCCACCAGTGCAGAGACTGAGCTGTTAGGTTCATTCATTTCAGAGATACACTCATCATTCTTTGAAAAATAAAAATAAAAATAAAAACTGATGTGGAGACGGATATTTTGCACAAACAATATATCACTATATAAATTTGCGCAGGAGAATTGGACAATCAAGTGTCACTGTGGTGAATTATTAACCGACACAGTCCAAAGGCACGTACAGTGAGTGAGTGCTGTACCTGATTGATATCCATCGGCATGTGGAATCAGCTGTTAAAGAAAAACAAAACTGAAAACGTCTTCTGTAGCTGAGTGACTCATTCTTTGAGACTATGTGGCTAGTTTATAGTTATACCATAACAACCTGACAATAGGCCAGAAAACAACACACATATAGACACACACCCTATCTGCTCATTGGCTGCAGATTGTCTTCGCAGTCAGGTGGAGTCGTGCGTCCTGGTGCGTCCTGGTGATCAGAGGTCTCCGAGGACAAAACCCCCGTGCGCTGTTGCTGCTGCAAGTATCTCACAGCTCGACTCCGACTGATCTATTGAAGGGATGGCAAACTCTAACAGACCTACCACCGACATTAGGCACGTCTACAGGGGAACATTTGTCCACTCGACACAGCAAGCACCGCTGCAGATCCTGGAAGATGCCCTCCTGGGAGTGGATACAGAAGGAAAGGTTTGTCAGATAATAAATATCTGAAACAGCTTTTGGTCGGATTTAGGAGTGATTAAAAAAAAACCTACCATTTTCTGGTTTGGGAAACAGAACTGCGGGCTCATACATCGACATATGCGTTTATTTACGAATTGATAATTATCTATATCTGCTCCGAAACATTGCGCAAAAACGTTACATTTGGGACACATTGGTATAAAGAGACGTCTTCCAAACGGATAAAGCGTAAATCTGTTACACAATAACGTAATTGTCTCCTACAGTGAGCCGTTGCTGAGCAACTTTAACAATTTGGCCCACAGTAAGCTCTCATACACAAAAAACCTTAATGACTGTCTGAAGTATCCTCTTCAAATACATCGTGTGATTACAATTCATACGACATACTTAAACCATCTGTTGTTATCAATTAGGACATAAAGCATGTGGACAAACAGGTTATCAGAGAGGTGAATCATAGAGGTAGCCTATGGCAAGCATATTTTTCTTGTTACAGAAGTTGTTGATTTAAAAGCTAAATGTGAGCTAAAGCCTACACTGTAGCTTTGGGGTTTCCACCTGTCATGAGGACTAAAAACAGCCCCTTTAAGATGTTTTATGCCATCCCACCTTGCAAACATTTTTTTGTACTTTATTTCTTAACTCTACTTTCTATTATGCCATCAGATTGCCTTCATTGGGAAGGGCGCAGAGCTTGACAGACTGTCCAAGACTTTCGGATTCAGTCCGCCTGACATTACTCAACTTGAACAACAGTAAGTCAAATGTGGAAATGAATTACTGAATATATAACATTCTGCAATAGTATTACATGACTTCACTGAGTCAGAGAGTCACTGTGTTCCGGTGAAGTTGCAGATAGGAACCCAAACCTTTCTGCATCAGTAATTATATGAATTGAACCCCTTGAATCTAAAACATGAGCGTGCATAAATGCATCATATCTTGCATAGGCCATAAAAACGTATGTGACATATATGTATGTCTGAACCATTTTCATGTTTTGCTTCAGTGAGTTCTTCATGCCTGGTATGGTGGACACCCACATCCATGCATCCCAGTACAGCTACGCCGGCACAGCCCTGGACATGCCTTTACTGCAGTGGCTTAATACCTACACCTTTCCTGTCGAGTCACGCTTCAAGGACTTAGGGTTTGCCCACAGAGTCTACACCCAAGTAGTGGTGAGTTTGTTTGCTAGCTTCATCAAATAAGTGGTCATTAAAATTCAGCCACTGGTTGTCCCTCTGTGGCACACTACTAGTATGTTTGTTGGGTTTCACTTGATGTCGCCTCTATTGTCACACAGCCTGTGATTTGAGAAGGGTGTGAATGTTTAAGTGGCTTAACAACGTAAAGAAAAGAGAAATGTCAGGTCAGAATGTTTGAAATGTTGTTTTAATCCTGTAATATGATCCCTGTGCTTTACAGAAAAGGACTCTGAGAAACGGAACAACCACTGCATGTTACTTTGCTACCATACATACAGATGCCTCTCTCCTGTTGGGCCAGATTGCGAGTAAGATGCCCTACACTCAAACACACACACACACACACACACACACACACACACACACACACACACACACACACGCATTATGACCTAAATATTTTTTATTTTTAAGCATTGGCCTTCTTCACTGTTTTCTCTCTGTGATATGGACTGTGGGCTGGGAAGTTGGAAACCGAAGTGTGTATTTAAGTCAAGTGCTGGTTATTACACAAGTCTTTGTATAGGCCATACTGTAAAACATCCAGCAGACAGTTTGAAATGATCAGAAAGCAATAGGTAACTTGTGGGTGATTGTAAGTTAATCATAGCTGGTAAAACCTTATGTATAGTTATATTTATAGTGATGTGCATAAACAGAGGGATGTTAGGTCAGCACTGTCTCGTCTGGCATATTCAGGCTTTATGATACCTGTTATAAGCAGAGCAGTGGCTCAAAATGTGATAATAGATCCAAATGGGATAAAGTAATCCTTGAATATGCCTTGTTTGACTATGGTTAAAGAAAGCATTTTTTATGGTTAAGTTTTTTAATCTCTTCCTTGGCAGTCTCAACTGAGAAAGAAACACATGTATTTTGTTCACCTTTATGTCTTGTTCTTATCATCTTGGTGTCATGTTATGCAATACTGAATACACACACTCGTTCACACAAATGTGTAATGATTCAACCATACTGAATTGAGCATTGGCTTTGGCAGTCACTCTATGGTATCATGGTCATTGAACCATTACCTTTGTCCTGTAAGCAGCAGTTCCATTTTGTAGAAAACTGATGTTAGTCAAATAAATGTGTGTGTATGCACATGCATGTTTGAGTATTTCCAACACATATATTTAAAATCCATCCAGCTTCTTTTCTTCTTGTGTGTTGAGTTTATTAGTTAGTTTACTTTGTGTTACATAAAGAAAAATATAAAATATATATATTCACACACAATCCAATGTGCTATATTTTCTCAGGCAACACTCTTATAAGGTCTAAAGTTCAAGGTCCCAGGGAAATCTGATATATATGCACATTTTATGCCTGATTTACTAGAAATGTTTGGTCACAGTAACACAAAGCTCTCTCACAGTCCTTGAATGACTGATCATGTACAGTGTCTGTAGCACTACACTTGTTGAAGCAGAACTGTGTTACTACACAGTGGTGAAAGAAGTATTCAGATAATTTACTTAAAGGTCCAGTGTGTAACATTTAGGAGGATCAATTGGCAGAAATGGAATATAATATGAATAGGTATGTTTTCATTAGTGTATAATCACCTGAATATAGGAATTGTGGTTCTGTTACATTAGAATGAGCTATGTTGAACTGCCATGTTTTTACAGCTGCCTAGAACGGACAAACCAAACACTGGCTATTGAATCCATTTAGTTTCACGGCCACCGTATTTTCTCCCCAATTCTCAGGTTTTAAAGTACAGACATGAGCAGTGTTCAGTTAGTTGCAGTCTGCGACTTCACCGCTAGATGTCACTAAATCCTACACTGAATAAAGTACAGTACTTGAGTAAATGCACTTAGTTACATTCCACCACTGTTACTATAACGTGAGTGAGTGTCACCTCTCATATGTTCCCCTATCCCAACCATGCACAATCTGTTGTGTCTTGTTTTAAAAGGTAAAATAAGATATGGAATGAATAGAAATATGACCAACCAACAGTATTAATGATAATTCAAAAGTATATATGTCAACAAAATTACCAATGATAACATGCCTTCATTGTCCATAACTGAGTGGTGCACCTGTGACCTCACATACATCCACCCACACAGGTGATTTTAGTGTAGACTAAATTCATTTTGGACAACAATTTTGTTAACAATGGCTCAGTTCCATTAAGTGATGCATTGAGCCAGTATTCACAATACCATGAGTCTGGAAATAGCTCACCTGTAGGCATTTAGTGAAAAAAAACTCCTGCACAGTTTGAAGGTGGGTTGAACTATACAGGCAATGATGTAAATATTGATGAAAATGATAAAAGTGTAATTTGTTCCAACCTAACAGGTTAAACAAAGCTAAAAGCAGATTCAGAGGCATGTCAAGTCACACTCACGTTACGTTCGTGGAAAAAGACAAAGAATAACCTAATATCCGCGTAGCATTAACACATCGCCAGGTTTTCTGTAAAATCTAAAAAAGAAAAAATGTGTTTAACCCAGCAGTTTTTTTGCTGGTATAAACAGCCAGCAGCACATCTTTGATGTGGATGGTACCAGAACATTTCCACAGGGACATATAGACCTTTTTCACAGCAGACATTTTGACATGTCATAGCAGGAAAAGTGCATGTGTAACTGAATATAATAAAGGCTGTACTTATCTGTTCCAGTGTCAGGCCTCTGGTGATGGCACACCAGCAGGGCCTAATATGGCTTCATGGAACAGAGTCATCATCAGTGTTATTATTTTCACCTGTGTTGTTTCTGCTGTGCAACAGCAGCATCTACCTATTGAACTTTAGTTGGCACCTCAATGCTCCAAACTTCCTTCTCCTTCTCTTCCCAAAACTGCTCTCCATCAAGACAGAATTACAAGCCTGGCAAAGAGGGTCCCTAAGTCCCAGCCTCACTGTGTTTCAATTTATTGGTTCATCTGGTAATTTAAATAAGGTCAAATTTGATTAAGATTGTGCCCCAATACAACAAGTATAATTGTGGAGAGACTGACGTGCATACAAGTCTTGTATGTAACTCTGTAAAGACACATAACAAAACAGATGTACAGTTTTTATTGGTCTACTTAACCAAGGATGGGACAGAACAAAGAAAAATAACTGTGACTGTACTGCGGCTTAAATATAGGGCTGAGAAGCTACGTGCATGTGCTTGTGGGATGTGTATGTATGTATGTATGGTATGTGTGTCTTTGGGTGCATTCATACAAGAAGACTGGGATTCGGACTTGACTCCTGTGACAGCAGGATTTAACTCTGACATGTAAAGGGCCTGAAATGCTGACACAAACAGCAAAGTGTGCCCTATAAATAAAGCTGTAATATTTAGCCCATAGAAACAAACTTGGTGTGAACTAAAAACCCAGTTAACTGAGTGAGCTGTAGTTACTCTTGTGACTCAGTCGGCCCTATTTTTCTTGCAGATGACTTTGGACAGCGTGCCTTGGTGGGCAAAGTTTGTATGGACAGGAACAATTCTGTGAAACATTACAAAGAGACAAATCAGGAGTCTCAAGAGGAAACCTGTCGGTAGGTATCATCAGCTGTTTAATACAGTATATAGCAGATGTGTTTGAAGGCCTTTATCGATGGATTGGCTCTTGCTATATAGTGTACAGTTGAGTTAATGATGAGCTGTGGACATGAGGCTAATGTGTGCCCTTTCAAAACTTTATATAACTCATAACAATAATAGTTCATTCAACAGTATAAGGGAATTTTACTTGAGTGAGAACAGGCAGATTATTGAAGAATTCTTTAGCCAGAAAAAAAATCCTGAGGCAAAAACTTTAGTTATGCTGAATTTATTCAGTGTGCGTCAAAGAAGTTTTCCCTTTTAGCACTTAAAGCTACAACATGTGATATAGAATAAATAATAATGACCATATATTACCATGATGTATGTAACAGTTAATCTTTAGGGAGTTAGATATGTTGGAATAATTCTTGTCTGTGCATCCAAACACAGTTGTTTTTCAATGATAATGTAACTTTTAAATTCCCATAGCTATTACCTTTGAAATACACACACAGAGTGTGCACCTAATTCTGAAGTGATTATTGCTTCCTTTTTTAATAAAACAACATTTAGACAGAGATTTAAAACCACAATCAAGTGCAAATGTAATTTTTATAGAAGTTTTAGTTTGTAAATGTGACTTCTCAAATGAATTACAACCATTGTTTTGTCTCCTCAAGGTTCATTGCAGAGCTCTTGGGCAAAAAGGTAAGATTGCATAATACAACTGACAGAACAATTAAGGGATATAAGAAAAAATCAAGGTATATACAATTTTTTTTTCAAATCTTTAGATCCACTGTCTTTTTTTCTTTTCTTTTGTGGGTAGTACCCTCTTGTGAAGCCAGTGGTGACACCCCGCTTCGCTCCATCCTGCACAGGAGTCTTGCTGGGACAACTGGGAGAAATCGCTAAGAATAACAACCTGCACATTCAGGTGAGCTCACTGTGGCAACCAAACCAGGCTAGGTCTACAGGGGATTGTTGCCATAGAGACCATTTAGTGTTGGACCTGTGGGGTTCTTTGAACAGTAAAATAAATACACACAAGGTAGAATGCTGACAAGGAAGAATGAAGAACAACTGCAGGGCAACATTTTGCATTAGTTTATCCTTTAATTGCACTGGCTGCCCTCAGGCTCTACCTCTCTCTGTAAATGCTACAGCTTTTGTCAAAGGTAACGCTCCTGTTACTTCTCTTAAAGTAACAGTTTAATGTCTGACATGTATATGTTTATTTCCAGAGTCATATCAGTGAAAATGCTGAGGAAGTAAAGCTTGTAAATGAGCTGTTTCCTGAGTCTGAGTCTTACACCGACGTCTATCACAAATACAACCTGCTTACTGACAAGGTGAGACACACAGACAGACACATGTAGAAAAATATAAATGCGGATAAAATTGCTCAACATGGTTGATATTATTTGTGATGATGATGGTTCGCAGACCGTGATGGCCCATGGCTGCTACCTCAGTGATGAAGAGTTGGCTTTGTTCAGAGAGACAGGAGCTTCTTTGTCTCACTGCCCCAATTCCAACATTTCGTAAGTATCTAATTTTGTTTCTCAAGGCTATATGTGACCGAATAACATGAACCAAGTCCCGTGAACATTTGAGATTTTACAAAAAAAATGCACTACTGCAATACAGTATAACATAGTATTGTAAATACCCGAATGCAAAGATATGCAACAGGTGAAACTTTATCGATCCATGTGGTAAAATTAGCTAGTCCTTAATCTATCACTTGACAGAAACACGATACATACATTTTGATCATTATTTCTTTGTATTAGTCACCTCTTTCTCTCCACCTGCCCAGGTTGTGCAGTGGAGTGTTGGATGTCCGCAACGTCCTGAAGCACAAAGTGAAACTGGGGCTGGGAACAGGTGGGGGCAGAGCACATTTTCACTTCTAAGTGTTGCCAGACCACATCTTACAAAGTGTGTTATGCTGCAAGGAAGCACTAAAATTATGTTTAATGATTTGGAGACTTGATTAGGACTTGCTGCAGCAGTGAGATTGTTATGATACGTTAATTTCTGGATCTAAAAGCAGAACTTGGGAGGCTTTTCAATAGTCCAAAGTAGATTTGTTCAGGAGCAAAAGAGAGATTTGACCAGAATTTCATGGTGGATCAGGGCAGGCATAGAGAGCTTGACAGGTGACTGGAAAGCAGACTGACAAGGCCGGCAGACATAGATCCACAGAAAGGTAATGATCCTGAGGTATAGGTAAACATGAGGTTAGACAGGATTCAGGTAACACGTGGATATACTGACCTAGACAAGAGTTTGACCAAAGCATTATTACCACGTTAGCGAATGGAATGATCTGGCGAAGACTACTGCAGGAACTTGGATGAGTGGATGAGCCACAGGTGTACAGGTTGATCGACCTTTGTGAATCAGTGACAACAACAAGATATACAGAGATGACAAATAGGGGACGGACAAGAGACACAAGGCAACACTTGAACAAAGAGGAATGAGGGTGAGGCACAGCCAGACCTTGACAGAGACTTGTTCTCTGATTTTATAGCTGTCAGTCATTTTAGCATTTTATTGAGTGCAGTCAGCAGAAAGATTAGGCATGCAGAACAGCTGACCATCATCCCTGTGTGGACATTTGCTGGTTCAAATGTCCAACAATAATAAAAAAAAAAGACATAAAAGGTAAAGGGTAAAGGTATTTTAATTTTCGACCCCAAACTAACAGAAATCTGAACATGTGAAATGCAATTGCTGCTTCGTGAAGGCTTGTGTCTGCATGTTTGGATTGATTTGACTCATCCGGTCTGTGTTTGTGGTGCCGCGTCAGATGTGGCAGGTGGCTACTCGGCCTCTATGCTGGATGCTGTGAGGAGAGCTCTGGACTCATCCAAAGTCTTGACCATCCAGGACCCAGAACACGAAACACTCTCCTTTGAGGAGGTGTTCAGACTGGCCACACTGGGAGGCAGCCAAGGTAAACCACTCAACTCAGCTGTCGCTTCGTAACAGAGTGGCATTGTGTACATATTACAATTAAAACAGTAAGTGTTCTGGCTCTTTGTTAGTCTTGTTCTCCACCAACAGTCGTGTTTTTTCTTGCTGAAGTGTCTTTGCCCACTCTAAGTCACTCTGTATTAGAACGCTGCAGCACAAATGCCTGACTCAATACCCAAGTTGCTGTGGGAAGATATTTTTAATGATGACTAATTGCAATTTCACAGGAGGGTAGAGAATACAACAGCTTCTTTTATGGTGTGTTTTGTCCGTAGCTTTGTCCCTGGATGACCAAACAGGGAACTTTGAAGTGGGCAAAGACTTCGATGCCCTGAGAGTGAATGTAGCTGCTCCTGGTGGACCCATCGACCTGATCCAGTGTGATGGGCCAAAGGTTGGTAATGGGTCTTAATCTATTCACACGCACTTCTACAGAAATTAACAAAAGCAGAACATTTCATTGTAAAGCTCATTTATCATCGCTTCAATTTCAGATTCTTTTGGAAAAGTTCTTGAATTTGGGTGAGTGCCCATTCCAGTTTATTTGTCCAAATTTTTCAGATTAAAATGTGCCACTCAACATTTACTTTATGTTTATCTCTCCTCTTTGGCAGGTGATGATCGCAACATAGTTGAGGTGTTTGTGGCCGGGAGGAAGGTGGTGCCATTCACAGAGTAAACATTTCTGTCGTCCACACACCTTCACTCATCTCGAGGGTTCAAAACCCCACCAGAAAAGTCAGCTTGAAGAGGATTTTAACTGCTAAAATACATGTATATCTGAGAAGAATGACCAGCTGGAAACACGCTATTGCTGCGCAACTGTCCTTTAATGCTAAGACAAATAAGTTGGGAATTAATGATCACCATAAACATTTTACTGTAAAATCCAGAGTACAGAACATGGTACAGTATGTGCTATTAATGAGGTTCAGCGAGGTTCATGCAAGACTGTGGTCAGAGTCTTTAAGGATACACACTGTTGTACACTTTTTTACACTTACACTGCTTACTTAAACTTACCTAAACTAACTCATATACAAGTACTGATGATGGTAGCCTCTGTAGTGTGTTGTTAACAACAACATATTTTCCATTTCATGATGATATCATGCTGTGTTACCTCAAGACATTTAAACTGGACAATTGTTCATAAAGTTAAGTGATGTATTACCGTATAGGACTTTGTGCTGAAGCTGCTTGGTGCTCAGTGCAGCTGCAGTGCCTGAACTGAGTACGGCTTGATAGTTTAATTTCATATTTGTGGATTGTGTAAGCAGAAATTGCACACTGTACACTCCACTCAGGTGTTTTAAATGGCAATGGTACATGATTGCAGTATATTATAGTATTTTATAGTTATATTCTCTCAACTTTGTTTCAGTTTGACTCATTTTTCTCTTTTACAGTTTACATCAGATTGCAGCGCTCCGTGTGGTGAACTGACCATTCCACTTACTGGAAAGTGAAATTATAGGCTACTTAACCCGGTGCCTTATTATCAAAATCAGTTATGTTTCATTAGTTCAAATGGCTTTACTGAAATGGTTGATTTTATTACTGAACCTAATGAAATATACTATATACTTAAATTTATATTGCAAACTGTCTTATGAATGTTTGGAAATGAAGGGAAATTAAATGGATTTACTGCTGAATATGTGTTTGTCTTCATAAATTAGATTGTATTTAAGGCAAGTTTACTTTTTTACTGAAATATAGCATATTTTTATCACAACATATCACATATGACAACAAATGTTTATACGTTCAAGAACTCTTTGAACTGTTTAATGTGTCCAATCATGAGAACTTGAAATAAAGAATTCCGCCAATTGTTTTTAATGTTTTCTCATGTGCAGTTATTTAACAAGCAGCTACTGATCAAGGACCATAACCCATGATGTATAGGTAAATTGTTTGGGTTAACAAAATGCCTATTGAACCTTCCAGCTCACTAAGAGACCAGTCTACAGCTTCTTTAACAGATGATCTTCACCATCTGGGCCTGACAGCTGAGAAGGTGAGATGACTACTACTGACAACAAGGCCTTTGCTCCACTTCAGATCTGACCAGCATAAGGAAAATGTCATGCTACCAGCCACTAGAGGGCGACACTGTACAAACACATCGGATATCTCACACCTTTAATATATGTAATTAAAAATATGTAATTCAGTTACCCAAATTGCAAACAAAAACAAACATATTTTCTCACTTAACTCTTGTTGTATCCAGTTATGTAGTGTAGGTGGCACCACTTATGGTGTCATATGAAATTCAATGTGATAATTAATTGAGCTCGCTTTCAGATTTTTTTTGGAATTATAGCCTATTACAATCTACCATCTTTAACCAACCTTATTGTTTAGAAGTAACAAACATAAAGTCACCCAGGAAATAGTTAGTACCTGCCAAACTCATGACAGATTTCCTCTCAAACTTGTAACCATTAAAGAAGAAGCAACAACTAGCAAAAGGGAAGGTTAATATATTATTGTGTATATATATTACAGTAATATATGACACATGTTTACATTATATCAATATTAATGTATAATATCTATGTGTATACATATCTGTTTAGTAATCATATTATATATACATATTATTATTATATTATTATAAATATTATTAATATTATCATTATATACTGTTATTATTATATACTGTTATTAACAATAACACTACCATCATGTCATCAGTACTATTACCACCATCTTGCAACTACAACTCTTTACACCTTACCTACCTATTTATATTTTTGTATCTTTTCTATCGAAGTATTTTATTCTATTGTTGTATTTTATTGTATTGTATTTTATTGTATTTTAATGTACCTGGCTGCTATGACGTCCCAATTTCCCTTCGGGGATTAATAAAGTCTATCTATCTATCTATCTATCTATCTATCTATCTTAAGAAGTCTCCCACAAATGTCCATATTTGGAAAAATAAAATAGTAAAATAGTAAATATAGTGTGTTTACCCGCTGTGTACTTAAATTGTATACTGTAATGGATCTGGATGGATTGACAAGTTGATTGTATGTTGGCACAGAGGTCCTAATAATGACTCACACACATCCATTTCTCTGAAACATGTAAAGTTACCCAGTAAGTCATTGTGTCCTCATTATGTAAATGATGTAATTCCCCCTGGTAACCAAATCTGTTATTTTTTATTTTTGTTTTGGTTAAAACATAAAACCAAAGCATGGATTGATACGAGCTGAGGTACGTGATCAAATATGTATTTGTCATTTAATTTAAGCATCATTTAAGTTTTAAGGAACCACAGATAATGTTTTTTTTATGTTTTGAATGTTATGTTATCTTGACATTGCCTATAACATTACAGTCTGAAAAATGACATGAAAAAACCGACACAAAGTGCGGCTCATTAACCTGTTAAGTGTCTGGTTTTAAGCGTTTTAAACTGCATATCGGCCTTGAACATAGCTCCAATACAGTTTAAATGGGGCTTTTTGCCCGGAGTTTAATGTTTAAGGAAACCATTACACCTCAAGCTGTGCATTGTCGCTTCAACGATCAAACAGCCAATATGTATAGATGTGTTATGTGTGGTCGATTTAGGGTTGACACAGACCGAAACTGGAGTTCAGATAGCATAGCCTGAGAGGAAAGTGTGCCTGAGAGACTAAACTCAGGGTCAAAGTGTATCTTAAATGTACAATAAGGAAGTGTGGCTGTCTCAAAGAGCGAAGGTTGGTTGCTGAACATTTCTTTACTTAACTTTACTTTCCACCCCTGCCTTCATTCTTAGTGGACATAAAACCATCTTCTAATGAATGTGGCAGGTACGTCTAAGTTCTTCTTTACTGGATATTACTCTGTACACATTCATTTGGCATGGACAAAATATAAACAAAGTATTTATAGTCATGAATAGTATATATTTGAATACAAGTGGCATTGCACAGTCTACCCTAACTAAAAAAAGGTCTCTTCTTAAAATAAAACAATAAAAACAGTAAAAAAAATAAAATAATAATCATTTAGAGTTTACTATATTATCCTCCCCATCAACAGAGAGCCAGCCTCCACCTCAGCACTGAAACCAGCCACACTCCTGTCCAGCAATGCCTCTGTTTCGGCCCTCGGGTGGACGTGGTAGTGGGGCGAGGGTCAGGCCCAGGCGGAAGAGGAGGATGAATCTGGAGTGGATGGGGAGCTGCGAGAAGACGGATGAAGACGGCTCTGTCCTTTCGTTGACACGGCTGTGTCTGCTGAGCCTGGCTGACAACATGAAGGAAGTGTGGGTGAAAGACTACGCCGACAACTACCTGGATCATTATTTCTTCAGATACATCATGGGCCCTTTCAGCTTACTGCGTGAGTTTGTGAGGGCTTATTTAACAGACAGGTTTTGTCCCTCTCTTGCAGGTAATAGGGGAGAGTGGGGTAAGTTGAGGCCACCCCTTGTTGGTAAAAAATGGTAAAAAACATTGATCATGTGACCAAATTGCCCCATACACGGGGTAAGTTGAGCCAGGAGACCAAGCTATATTATCGAAACAGTTCTGTTTACACTCATTCTGTGTGTTTGAAGGGATGCACAACATCCTGAAATATATGCAGATATATTAGTTAGCGACAAAACTATGATTGCCTTGATGTAGTGATCCTTAATATGAAAAATGGCTCATCTTACCCCACTCTCCCCTATGTCCATTAACCATGTGATCCATAGCAATATACTGATCCACTGAATCAGCAAATGAAAATGAAAGTCTGTCAGAGGAAGCAATCTTTTATTTTTCCATGCAGATGTTAAACTACTTCCTCTTTTACTTTATTTTTTAAAACCCCACTTCATTTATAGATTAGGTCATTTATTGCTTCTACTCCTGCTACAAAATTTCTATAAATTTCTGAAAAGAAACCTTCTATCGTTTACTCTCCCTATAGCGGGTGACCTGGTCGAGGAGCTGACTTGCCTGCTGTGCACCAGGAAGCAGCTGTCCCGGGCAGCCCTCCACCTCCTGCTGGTCCCCCAACTCCGTGGCCTGTCTCTAGAAAGGTGTCCTGGTCTGGTCACATCTGCCCTCTGTACCCACATTGCTGCACGTTGTCAGGTCAGACAGAGCCCAGTCTCCATGTCTCTGCCCTCGTTAGCTACTGATTGGAAACAGGGTGTCCATTTTTTTTCTCTGGCTGATGAAACTGAATGTTCAGTTAATAGTTGAGAGAGTCAGCTGCACAGATGCTGAAACGCCAGCAGAAATATATGTGACATTTTTTATGTTGTTCCTCACTGGTTTAAGTCTTCATATCCAGGAGGTCTTTTGCTAAATGCTAAATGTGAGACTTGAAAAGTTGTTGGATGTGTGAGTGTCCAAAAGTAGGACATTTCCCTGATTTTCACATTTTCACAGTCCACACCTTATACGATTTTTATATCCCTCTGTAAGCATGCACACAGAGAAAATGGGGTATAATGGCTTTTACATGGATTTATGTTACAGTTCACAGCTTAAATAACGGCTCCCAAAATGAAAGAAACAAGTGCTTTCTCTAGCCTGGAGTCAACAGGAGTGGTAGACACACTTTAAGAACCTGATCAGGATAATACATTTTTTTATTTTTTTTAAAGATATCTTGTGTCAGGCCTATAACCCCTTAATGTCTTTATATTTCCTCCTTAATGTCTTTATATTTCCTCCTTAATTCTTTATATTTCCTCCTTAATGTCTTTATATTTCCTCCTTAATGTCTTTATATTTCCTCCTTAATGTCTCAGGGTCTTTGGAGTCTGGACCTATCTGGAGCGCAGCAGCTGCCTTCAAAGGTCCTGTGTGAAACCCTCTGCTGTCTATCTGCCCTGCGCTCACTCTCCCTTGCTGGTACACCTTGTGACAAATTTGTAATTACGACGATTGCCCACCGCTGTCGTTTGCTGCGTCATCTGGACGTATCCCGCTGTCATTTCCTCTCCCCTACTGCGCTACTTCCTCTTGGAGGTGGGAATTCCTTTTCGTCCTCTGGCTGTCCTTCTGTTTCATCCTTTCAATGCACCTCTACATCCCAATCTTTTATTTCCCCTTCTTCCTCTGCGCCCTTGTCTCCTCCCCCCCTCAGCAGTCTGCTGGCTCTGGATATTGGGTTTGGGGAACAAGAGGGAGACCCAGTGGCGGCAGCAGCCTATCTTCTTCTCTCCCTGCCCTGCCTGGAGAGAGTGGCCATGGAAGGTGTTGGAGACGCCTGCTGTCTCATCCAGCACAGAGAGTTCGACCAGACAAATGAGTTCACTGACAGAGAAGGAGTTCCCAGGCTGGGGGTGGTGTGGGAGGAGTGGAGGCACAGGCAGGGCGTGGGTTGGACGAAAAAGCAAGAAGGAGCAGGAGCAGATGAGGATAAAGAGGAGGAGGAGGAGGAGAGGATATTGTGGGAGGGGTATGGTAGTGAGAGTGAGGAATATGCAAGTAGAATTGAATGTCCAAGTTGCTCTCAGAAGCAAACAGAGGAAAAAAGGAGAGGAAGAGTTTTATCTCAGTCAGGTGATGAACGCCTGAGCCTGTGTCTGAGAGACGTCACCGGCTTATCCTGCGACTCTTTGGACAGTTTAAGTCGTTTATGTCCAAACATCGACTCCGTATCTGTCAACCTTGATGATTATGAAGATGCTAGAGGAAGAAGCCAGGGGTCTCTGTTAGCCGCAGGCCTCCAGACGTGGTCAGGCCAGCTGCGGAGCCTCTCAGTACACTACTCAGGCCCTTTGGTGGATCTCCTTCCTGCCTTGCAAGTTGCAGGCTCCTCCTTGTTCTCTCTCACCCTGGAGGGAGTTAAAACCAGCCCTCGCACCCCTCTACTGGAGGTCATCG